GGCGGAGTCACGGTGGTGACAGAGGCGGCCTGACTCCACGCCCCCCTGCACCACGGCATTACAGTGGCAGCAGCGGGTGGGATACCTCCATTCCCAACCCTGCGCCGCTAGGGCATTACATATAGTATATGACATGTCACATATCCACATCATATAATTATAAATATTACTTACAGAAAAGACACGATACACTGAAACAAAAAATTGCCTTCTCATTCACAGAAGCAGTTAATGTTCAGCAGTTCATTGCAATGGTAAAACAAAAATGCATAATTGCAATGACAAATATCACAATACAATAATTTCTTATGTATATAGGAAGATACAATTTTCTTGCTGATATTTGACCATAATTCTGTCAGTTTCCTGTCTCCTACCTCTGACACAATACAGAACACCAGCCAACTAACCCATTCACTCACTCACCTCATGCAGCAGAGTCCTTGAGAACACAACAACTGCTCAGTTAGTGAAGTAATTCACAGAATTTTATGGATCTAAAAATCTTCATTAATGTGCTCATAAGAGCTTGTCACTAGTCCCTACCCTGAGTCAGATGAATCCAATCCACACCCTCCCATTTTTTTGGGCCCATGTAACATTTTCCTCCCACCTATTCCTAGGTCTTCAAAGTAGTCTTTCTCCTCAGTGATTCTAATCAACATTTCATACAAATTTCTCTTCTCTCCCATATGTGCTGCATGCCATGCCCATCCGATTCTCATTGATTGATAATCCTAATAACAATAAGAAAAGTAAAGTTATCCCTTTAACAGGCCTTGAAGGCCCATAGGGTAATGAGATGTTGAGGCTCCCACATTGTCTATGCAATCAGCTCACAGATGGCGATGAGGTTGTCAGCCTTACATCCCGGCCACCCTTTACCCCCAGGAAGATCCCTGGTACTTATTTCTTTTAGAGTCTGAGCCAACTCCAGGACCATAGACCAGTTCAAGAGATTAAGGCAATTGAAAAATCCAATGACTTCATCGGGACTCAAACCTTCCAGCTTGCAGCATAGTGTCTTAACCAACAACACTATCACATGCCCCGATAATCCTAATAATATTTGGTGATAAGTATAGGCATATGTAATATATATATGAGCAAGGGAGAATGGATACTGGAAGTGTAACAGTGCGTTGTTTATATTCACCCAGTAGAGAGAGTATGGGTGCAGCATCACAACGCACTATGTGGAATATGTGGTTAATGCCCTGCAGCTGCTTCTCCAGAAGGGAACTGCACTGCTGTAACTTTCCCTCCACACAGTCAGCACTGTTCCTCTTCTCAGCGAGTGTGTTGGCAAGGCGAGCCAATGTATCCTGCTGTTGCAATGCCCGGTGACTCTTCAGGTCACGCTGATCATCAATCTTCTTGCGCAGACCACATGTCTGCTCCTGAAGTGACTCCACCTACACAAAACCATAGCTACAACCTGCAATCACACTATATCACAGGTATTCTATACTTGTACACTCTTCCCATATAAAACCACAACTACAGCCAGTTATATCACTACACTCCACCTATAAAAAACCATAGCTGCAACAAGGCACCACACCACATCACAGCTATCCTATATACTCCATCTACACAAAATCATAGTTACAACCTGCCACCACATGACATCACAGACAACCGTATACACTTCTCCTGTAGAAAACCACGACTACGTCAGTTATCCCACTACACATGAACTACACAAAAACAAAGCAATCACACTACATCACAGGTACAAGTGGCTTACTCACTACACTCTACCTGCCTGAAATAATGCCTATAAAGAGCTATCCTAAAAGATGTATCATTAACTAAGACCAGTATGTACCTCATTATTCAGTTCATTGACATAATTGAAGATTGCAAAGTTCTCCTCCTCTTGCTTCACAAATTGCGCAGCTATTCGATCGATGTCATCTTCTCCAGAGAATTCCTTGATCTGTGATAGGATCTCCTCAAATGTAACAATCATATGTTCTGTGGCTTCCTTTCTCTTTTCTGCAGACAGGTTACATTGAGTTAAGAAATATATAAATTTGTGCTGTGTTGGCAGAAATTGTGTGTGCATCTAAGAGCCTTCAATATACTTTAAACAGACATATCGTGGAAGTAAATTAGATGATTTATGAAACTCACTATGTTTGAGTGCCTCCCTCGCCTCTAGGTCAGCAGTGGTGCGTCGCTGTCCCTTAACACTCAGAAACTCATGCAGCTTGACATCGTGATCCAAGCGCCGCTGCAGCTCCTTCATCTCCTGGCGCTGTTGCTGCATATCAAGTTTTCCACGTTCTTTGAGAGCATGCAGCTTGTTCTGAGCTTCTTCTCTCTGGTCATATGCCAATGTCGCCTGCTCAATCAGGTGTACCATCACCTTCTTGTTAGAACTGAGTCGGCTCACAAGATGGTGGTACAGCTTATTGAAATATGCCCTGTCCTTCAGCAAGTGGTCAATCTCCTCACGCGTCTTTCCATTGGAAGCAATCACTGTGTTGAACTTGCTTGTTACCTGGGCAAAATAATATATTAGTTGGCTGCTCTGACACCTACATTTTTCATAGCAATGTGACAATATGCAATCTATTGCTAGTGGGGTGGGACTAAGTCCCTTGTACAGTGGTAACTTCTGGCCTATTGTACCAGCCCCAGACGATAGGTGAGGGTGATTGTGGAGCAATTGGTGGAATGAAGATTGGCAGGGGAAACCGAAGTACTCGGAGAAAACCTGCCCCAGCGCCACTTTGTCCACCACAAATCCCACTTGACCACACCCGGGATCAAACCTGGGCCACTGCGGTGGGAAGCCAGCAACTAAACGCTGAGTTATGGCGCAGCCTATCCACCGGTTACCATCCACTCTGTCATCTAAAACCAAGAATACACAGGCCTGGATTATAAACTTACAACTCCAAGCCGGTTCTCCAAGTTGTCAATATTCCTCTGAGTTTTTAGTGATTTCTGCAGCAAAATGCTGTCAGTGACATCTAGTTTCTTCAGCTCCAATACCTTCTTCTCCACCTTCCTTATCTGCAAGTTGAGTTCTGATAACTGAAACACACAGATCACAGCCTTGTTCAGAGCATGGGATGCAGTGAAAGAGGAATAGAATGTTTGAAGTTTTATGGCATACAGAAGATCCCTGATATGAAGCACATGTCAGGGAACAGCTTGAGTCCTTGTGTCATAAGTGAAACTGACATTTATCTAAGTTCAGTGGGATTTCTGAAGATCTCTAATTAAGCTGGTAAAAGCGCTGCTCATTAAATTTTGCTGTTTGAACGCAACAATCCCAAGGTTAGCGAAATAAGAAACATACTGCCAATTCATAGCGGTCTAAAGACTTTACCCTATGTGCCTGCAAACTACAGCAAGGAATGCTGCAGCTGATTATACTGTAACATTTCAATGATATTTACACAATATAAAATATATTGTCATGTGTAACATGATTAGACATGGATTTCTTGAGTTCATACAAATCATAACTACGAGTAATTATAACCGTTTCACTGATTCTTGACTTCACAATTCACTATTGCATCCGCTAAGTTTCCTGCATCTTCACTAGGCATTCCTATGCAACAGCTTCCAACAGTAGGGGCTCCCCCAACTACCACACCTCTGTCAGGAGGGTGACTGTCTCACAACAGCCTCAGTCAAAGTCAAAGTCACGTCATGACGGACAGTCAGTCGGCCAGTCACTCTTGGTGTCAAGCCTATCTGGGACTCAAGACCAGACTTTTGTTACTGTCAGACAGTTGCTGTTTTGTTGATGTGGGGCGCCTATCTCATAAGGTTTGGCAGACTCTCCTGTTATAGCCTCTGCATGGACTCAATAGAGAGCACTGCCTCCAACAGTTCCTCTATTGTTGCATTCATGTGTTACTGTGGTCACACGATCTGGCTACCACCAATGGACATCTTTTCTGGTTCTGTAATTTTGGTTTTGTGCTCTCATGTCACAATATGTAGTCATTTTGGGGACATAATGAAAGCTGTGGTACACCCAAATCCACTGTATGAGGCCCTACTGCATCACAAGGCATCAGAAAGTGCTGCTCACATGAACCAGTCACTAAACATATATCAATGGGAAAAAAAGTAGAGTGTAAAGGTATCCTTGTGGAGGCCCCTAGGGTTGTCAGATGTTGAGGTTCCCACATTTTCTAGACAATTGGCTCGCAGATGGTGGTAAGGTTGTCAGCCCTACGCGCCGGCCACCCTTTACCCCCAAGAACATTCCTGGTACTCATTTCTGTTAGAAGCTGAGTGGACTCCACGGCCATAGTGTGGCTGGAAGGACTAGGTCAATTGAAAAAATCTCATGGCCTCATCGGGACTTGAACCCGTGACCTTCCAGCTTGTAACATAGTGCCTCAACTAACTATGCTACCACGTGCCCCATTATACCAATGGGAAGGTTGTTATAACAGCAGTGCTCTATACTTGTATTCAGGAGCTGCCTAGTTTGAATCTCAGTCAGGGCACCAGCAATCCTGATTGAGATTTTTCATGGTTTTCCTCGGTCCCTCCAGGAACATGAAGAAATAATGCCTTGATTTTGCAGCAGCTGATTCCCTCCATATCTTTCCATTTTTTCATTCAGCCCACTATTCAATGCTGTATAGCCTCGATTGGTGCTCCTCTAACTTCCAGAAACTGCACACCACTAAGCTATTCTAACATTTCCTTTAGTCATAAAAAGCAAGCAATTGGGCTTCTTCCTATGAAATGGAGAAAAATTATAGTTGTAGTTGTCATAAACTACTTTTTATAGCCACCAATTTAAAACAAATTAATTTAAACAATAATTCATTTCATTTTTTAATTTAAATTATATTTATTACCTCTCACATATTATATATAATTAATTATTAATAATGTTACTCTCATGATGATAATGATAATAATAACAGTAATTGTTTCATGCAGTTTCATATCATAGTTAATCTTACCAGGCACTTCTGTGACATGTGATAAAAATTTATTTATTGCTTTTCCCCCTAAAACTGCCTCTGGACCACCTGATAACCACCATGGACCACCAGTAGTCAGCAGACCACAGTTTCAGAAACACTGGTCTAACTACTGACAGCACTGCAAAATATCTTGCAGTAAAAAGTGGTGCAAAGACAGTGTGTGCACTTGCTGATATACAACTGACCACGACTATGTTGACTGTTAACTTATCAGACCATTGCTGGTTGCTGATTACTATACAGCAATGAAATGACTGACCACTAAAGCCAGTTTCAAAAACCTGACACTTCACCTTTGCATGCCTAATGAATTGCTTTGCCAAACATAGCACATCTGCAAGTTTATTTAGGTCTCCATAAATGATCAAATTTTAATCAGAACAGTCATTGTAGAGAAGGTTACCCTTTTTTGTTTTTGGGCTTGTATTTTTTGGAACTAGAATGTTCATATCTGCCCGGCATGGACCTAGGATGGATAAATTCTTGAACAATAAATGTGAATAAAATATGTCCAACAATTCAGGCACTACCAAGGTGTACATCCATCTATCCATACATACATGCATACATACAACCAAATGATATTCCAGAAACCACATTTCAGTATGCCAGTGAGGCTGAAAATGTATAAATTCATCACAATCTCAAGATTGGTTCTTTTTATGATCACAATACTTTCTCACATATACTCTGTATATAAGATAACACAAATAAACCCATGTCACCTTCAACTTCTCTGATTTGATCTGACTATCATATCTGTCAGTGAGGTTAAGCAGATGGACAAGCTCTGAGGATGTTTTGTTGTTTTTAACTTCATTCAGTGGGGACTTGGCTGCACGAAGATTTTTCAGCAGCTCATCCTTCTCAGCATTCAGTGCTCTTATTATTCTCCTGCAACAACCAGTGAATGTAGAACCATGAGGCACAGTATACGTGAGATATAATTGAGAACATGCCCACACTAAACCAGCATGCTGTTCATCTTGTATCTCATACTGCAAGAGTTCAAGAGCATATGGACAGGCTTGATTTGGGTACTTGCTGTTCATGCTTTCACTTACTCATTGTCAAGCTCCCAACAGTAAGTTATCACAAACATTCTTTGAAAAATTTCTTATGCAACCTTTGAACAACTTCCCATTATCTACCTTTATGGTGTGCATCCTGTTGTCATACAAAATATATATAATGGGACAGTATACACAACAATAATTCTAAACCATTTGTTTTTATTATACACACACACACAATATGAATTCATATTGATCAATGATGCAATTTAAGAACTATGTAGTACCAGTATTCTTGTATGCCTGAAGATGACCCAAGAAAAGAGTTGAAACACGTAGTGCTAGCACCAGCAGCTAATAAAAACAAATGTTGACACAGTAGTGTCTAATTTGTCTGTTTCAGAATTACTGTTGTGTAGATTGTCAAATTATATAACTTTCTCATTATCTAACATACAATGTCATGATCTGCCTCAGTTCATATTTTGTTTTTTTATTTTACATGCATCCGTGCCTCCCAAAAAGATATATAATTCAAGCCAAAAATGAGAATTTAATCTAAATGCTATAAAAAGAGAAAATGAAAATACACATTTCATTAAAAGAGCACATACATATGTGATCTGAAATCTTCACGACTGAATCAAGAAAAATATCTTGATTTTGATTCAAACAATGATTCTTAGTTTTCAAATTTGACAATGCTGCAATAGTTTTGTCTTATGTAGTAGTATACACACCACCTAATCCATCAGAATCGCAACAGCAAAAAACAGTAATAAAACTCAAACTGTCAACAAAATTGTTCTCTCTCTCTCCCCTCACTCCCTTTATGCATATGGTGAGAAAGGACATGGTTTTAGAGCTGATTGTTTTCATTCATTCATTCATTCATTTCCTTTATTTTCCATATATCCATACAGGCAAAAAACCTAGGATGTGGAAATAGTCCCTTTGATAATAGATGTATACATGTAATAAATTACATAAGTCACACAACCAAAATCACACACACTAGGCAACCAGCATAGATAATGGAACAAAAAAAAAACTCATTACAATTATAATTAATAAACATAATTTAAAAGGAACATTACTATAAAATCTTAAAATTAATACATTTTCACTCAAATTACCCAATGTTATATTTTAGCGTCCTGTTGCACTGNGGAATAAACAAATCATGAACAAATTACCCAAATTAACTGAATTAAATGCGTTACAAATTTACACACTTATGATCAACTATCTTTCCTTCTTTCTTTCTTTATTTCATTTTCCCATAAATCAAAATACGTACATTGTTACAGAACTCATCATATATATACATACATATCCTCCACTTTCCATAAACTTCCATACAGGCAACAGACCCAGGATGTGGAAATAGTCACCAAACACATACACAAAGTCACACAAGCCACACAACGAAGATCACCCACATTAACTATCTAACACATACAACAATACAAGGCAAAAAGATAATATCCTGATTAACAGACATAATTCACAAATAACCACAATACAATAAAACTATGATTTATGACAATTTTTCATTGAAAAAGATCTGATATCTAAAGAAATAAATAGTACTCTTTAGTGCATTCTGAGAAAGAGGTTAGTGCTATAAATTGCTGACGGGATCCTTGGATGTATTTTGTTCTCAGCTTATTCCTGAAATTTTGATCTGTTACTGCCATTTCAAAATATCTTAATTTCTTACAAATTTTTTAAAAATATTTATAGCTGTACCGTATTATGAATTTGCCCTGCATTCTAGTGATGAGACATGAACATATATTTTACTTTCTGTGTGACTGTAGAGCAAACTTGTGATATGAATATAGCTAACAGATAAGTAAGAAAATGGATCTAGATATACATTTGTGGGGGGGAAAAAAAGTATAATTTCATGCCTCATCACCAGAATGAAGGATAAGTTTATAACAAATATTATACTTAAGCCTCCTGTTGCACTCAACACGATAAATGATACAAACTCCGTCCCAAGTGCAAACAATATATATTATANAGAAATTTTAAAGGATTTTAAAATCATAACTAAAGATTTATAGTGCTACTACAGGAAAATCAAAATTTGACATGTGCAATATAATCTACATACCAGACACATATCAACGAGGTAGATGTTGATAATATGAAGAAAATAACAATGTGTTTTTAAATGTTAAATTTTAGACTGGGTTCAGTGTAGCAGCAACGTTAAGAGTATACGCCTGATGATGGCCGATAGAGGCCGAAACATGTAGTGTGGAAGAGAACAAGACCAAAGACATATAATATATATTGTTTGCACTTGGGACGGAATTTGTATCATTTATAACAAATCTTTAAAAAATAAATCTAATATCATTAAAAAAAGTGAAAAATTAAAGTATTTGGGATTGGCAGTAACTAAAATAAATTGCATTCAAAACAGTACTAAGAGCAGATTAAATTTGGAGAATGTTTGTAGCCATTCAGTTCAATATGTTTTGTCTTCCCATTTGCTGTCTACAAATGTAAAGACTAAACACAGTAAACTATAATTTTACTGCAGTTTTGGTATGGATGGTAAAGATGGCCTCAAACATCAAAGGAATAACAAAGATTGGGCACGTCTGAGGACAGAGACCTGATAAAAATATGTTGGACCCAAGGAGGAGGAGGAGGTAAGAGGATACTGGAGAAAATTACATTATGAGATTTTTCTGAATTTATATTCCCTGTCAAACCTTATCAGAATGACCAAATAGAGGAGGATTAGCTGGGTGGGATATGTAGAACTGATGGGACACATATAGAATGCATAAAAAAATTCTGGTCAAACCTTGAAGGGAAGGGATAAAAAGATGTTTTCTAAGTCTTAGACACAAATGGAGAGGGGGGGGGGGGTTCTAAAGTAGATGTGAGAGAATGTGAGCTGTATTCATCCGGTTCAATAGGAAACAATGGTGAGCTCTTGTGAACATGGTAATTAACTTTGGGTTCCATACAAGGTGGGAAGTATGTATATATAAATGTTAAATTTGTCCTGTGCTTAACTAATTAAGCACTATGCCATTAATGTGTATGTGGGAGTACTGATTCACGTTTTGTTGACCTCGGCACTAGTTGGATGTGAGTGCTCAGCTTCATGCCCTGGTCACTTTACCATTGGGGAAAGACCCCTGGTATCCATTGGATAGAAGGCTGGGTGGGCCCCAGAATCGGTCTGGAAGACTTGGAGAAGAGAAATTCTTGACCCTACCGGGACTCGAACTCCCACGGCTCGGTCTTCCTGCCCATAACCAGTCGCTATGCCACCTGCCGTATCTCGGGAACCCATATAAACATAACATTTTTTTATTGAAAATCTTTAATGTACCCATGAAGTTTAACTGACTCCTTCTGAATCACCCAATATGTGCTATAATAATAAATAACTGACTCCGCAGACGTTGACAGTGCCTCCTGGCAAGATCAAAGTGACAAAGTGGAGGGGAGTTTAAGGGAAGGTCTATGCAAGAGACCGATTTTTTCCAACTCTGGCGCGAATAACCTTACTAACTCATATATGGACAACATACTCACTATGCATACGAACCTCTGTCTTTGTAAAACAATGTTTGCTTTCTGAGAGTATGACTGCCGATCTCCTTCCATAATTCGATATTGTCGTTGCAGACGACTCAGTTCTGTTTCCGCCAGTTGATCCACGTCCAGGTCTTCGGCAGTTACCCTCCTAAGCGCCATTCTACAGTTTTAAGCGATGAATTAATCTGGAAGAAACACTACATTACAAAATCAACAAACGTATTCACTACAAAACTTCACAGAATGTTGTGAACAATAAAATTGCCGTCAACTTACATCCACTCCACCGGTTACTATGACAACTCTCCGCAGCACAATCAACCATGTCACGGATCAAAATAATATTATCAGTTACGGATAATATCACGGAGTACCTGCTAGTACAAACGAGTAATAACACGGATCCCTCTGCTGGCTCTGTTGTCAGATTACAGTCGCACGACGGGTTTTGTGTGATAGCCGAAGGACGATAGACGTTACTCTCAAAATTTTCGAAATAGGTAAACGTAGTAAGATAAGGTAATTTTGTCCCTGTACTTAACTAATTCATTCATTCATTCATTTATTTCATTTCCATAAATCCATACAGAAACAAGTTCCATGAGATGTGGAAATAGTCAAGTTTGAATCTTAACATAAATACAATAAAAACATAGAAAAACAAGTTATAGAAATAAATTCAAGAATACATAAATTAATATAATTACATTTCAAAATAACAATTAGTATATAGTAAGCAATCATATTTCTGCCAAGGCCCTTTATACAGTGCGTACAATCAAGTGCGCGCCGCGGCTGCAATTTGCCGTGAGTCATACCACCGCAGAACGGATGCAGTCGCGGGGAGTGTTGCAACTCCTCCCCGTGACTGCATCCGTTCTGCGGTGGTATGACTCACGGCAAATTGCAGCCGCGGCGCGCACTTGATTGTACGCACTGTATATATTGTTATGTTAATTGTAATAATAAGTGAATAATTACTTAGCAAAATAAAATCATCTATTAAAAAATTCATCAAGGCTCAAAAAGTCCTTCAATTTGACTTTAAATTGATTAGGTATGGAAGCAATTTCTTTAAGATTATAAGGGAGTGCATTTAAGACCTTCACTGCCATGTCGGACACGCCTCTACCATATACAGCCAGATTCACCTGGTTCATATGTAGATCCATTCTCCGTCTAGTTAATAAATCATGATAGTCATTGTTTAGAGCAAACTTGTCTCTATTTTTAACAACGAACATCATCAGTAAGTATACATATTGAGCTCTTAAAGGAAGTATATTTAATTCCCTGAATCTATTTCTACACAATTCTTTATATCCACAACCAACCATTAATCGTATAGCTCTTTTTTGCGTCCTAAAAACCTTTTCAGCAGAAGCTGAATTACCCCAGAATATCAAGCCATAGGACATGACAGAATGGAAATAAAGAGTTATAAATTAAGCACTACGCCATGAAGATGTATAGACCCACGTTTTCTTGACCTCGGCACTAGTTGGAAGGGAAAGACTCTGTGGTACCCATTTGATAGGAGGCTGGTTGGGCCCCAAAACCGCTCTGGACAACAAGGAGAAGAGAAAATTCTTGCCCCTGCCGGGATTCGAACTCCGACCTCTCGGTCTTTCAGCCTGTAGCCAGTTGCTATACCGACTGTGCCATCCGGGCTCCATCTGAATGGGTGCAACGTAACGTAAATCATGTATAGCAGGCCTGCCCAAGCAAGTTCAGGTGAATGTTGTTGCAGAGTCCCAGAGGTCCCAATGATGTTCCCAAGGTAAATGCGGAGTGACCATGTACGTGGGTTTATTGTGTACTTGCAGTGAATTGGACAAGGTTAAGAGATACCGTAATGTAAGGATATTAAATGGCAGAAAATAATTTTCGAGTTTTGTAATGGCAATCCAGTTTGTCATATTCACATTTTGTTTTCGTTTCATAACAGCTGTTAGTCTTTGTATTTATATAACTTTACTACATTCTAGGAGATATGTTTCCTGTATTCTCAATTTATTATTTCAGTGGAAAAATCTCTGCTGTGAAGCTAAAGGCATTCTTTTTTTCTTACCCTTCACTAGGAAAGCACCAGAATTTGGCATCTGTAGTGGCTACCATAAACAGTGTTTACCAATATCTTGTAATCGTACATCTATAATGACTTCACCACAGGAATTCAATATTACTTGAGTACTGTGGTTGATAATATTTGTATAGGCAGCTTTAGGAAAGATTGTATTCATATTGGACCAGTGGTGGATTATCTGAACATGATGCTAAACTCTACTACAACTATGTAAGTTTTGAGGTTTTCACGGCGATGACGATGAAGAAAGTCGTCTTCTGGGTTTAGGCACCGTGTATTCTTCGTTTTGGCCGACGTTTCGGAGGAACGTCGGCCAAAACAAAGAATACACAGTGCCTAAACCCAGAAGACGACTTTCTTCATCTACTACAAATATTTGTAAAAAATGTAAAATAGTTTTCAGTTATAATCACAAGAAACAAATTTGACTTAGACACAGCTAAATAATTAACAACACATCTAAGTAATATAAATTGGGAATAAGTACTAAGCAACCATGAGGTAGAGTCAATATTTAACATATTTCTGAACATCTTAAGAATTTTTTGAAGTTTCCTTGCCAAAATGGAGAATAGGGGAAAAAAAATAAAATATTTATCTTTACCTTCAACACAATTCTTTAAGATGTATACAAATGAATGTTTACATTAAAGTCATAAATCTTAAAGGCACGACATGTTTTGACCCTTATTGGGGCATCATCAGGTGTTGATTAGTGTTAAGGTGCTGAACCTGTACCCAATATGGATCGATTTCCTCTCCAGTTGTCTTACAAACTCTGCATTATCCATGCAAGACTGCAGTTGCATTTTTAATTTTGAAATTTCCTTCTGTGATGTTAAAGTATTTTCTTCTAGCTGTTTACGATGTTCTGCACAATTCTGAGCACTTATCATTACTTTTCAGCCTTTTCAACAGCACTGAGTTTGTCCTCCATCCAGTTAAATAGGGTGTATGAAAATAATTAATCTCATACACCCTGTTTAACTGGATGCATAATGATTTATCCAGTCTCAGCGCAACTGCTTTTCAATGAGAAATTGAGAATTTAAAATATTAAAAATGATTTGGAGGACAGACTCAGTGCTGTTGAGAAGGCTGAAAAGAATGCAATAAAGGAAATGATAAGTGCTCAGAACTGTGCAGAAGAACATCATAAAGGAGCTAGAAGAAAATACTTTAACATCACAGAAGGAAATTTCAAAATTATAAATAAGATGTTCTGATCCCTTTAGTTGCCCATTAATTATTTTCATACACCCAATTTAACTGGATGCATAATGATTTATCCAGTGTCAGTCCAGCTGCTTTTCAATGAGAAACTGAGAATTTAAGATATTAAAAATCATTTGGAGGACAAACTCGGTGCTGTTGAAAAGGCTGAAAAGATTGCAATAAAGGAAATTATAAGTGCTCAGAATTGTGCAGAGGAACACTGTAAACAGCTAGAAGAAAATACTTTAACATCACAATACGAAATTACAAAATTAAAAATGCAACTGCAGTCTTGCATGGAGAACCTTCGGGTTCCATAAAATGCCAGAAAATTCTTGAGCAGCTGCAGAATTGGCAGCTCCTCAAGAAGGGCTGAGCTCCATGAGTAAGTAAGTAACAACCAAACAATGAAATTCACTGCAGGATATATTGAAAAGTATGAACTCAATTCATGAAGGAGGCGGAATATATGCATTACAATAAACAGACATTAAAATAAAAAATAAATTAAAGTCTGGAAAACTGTGAAAAGGAAAACAGGTAAATATTCTATGGAAGAAGATACACAGACAGTAAACATAGGATGTAAATGATAACATAGTAAGAAGTCCTAAACTCCCAGCAAACTTGAAATTATTTATTAACAGTTACAGAAACAATGAACAGTGTTCTACATAATGGTGATGCTTCTTTGATATAATTACCAGTACTGCTTGATTTATGTGACAGTTGTATTCTGGAAAAAGTCACCAAGGTTGAAATTGCATAAATCAAACATAATTTTTCTGCAAGAACTGATAAAAATATCTGAGAACTACCAGTATTGTTGCCACTAAAAGTGATTGCCTTGTGTTGTACAGTAAATCAGTCATCCATTTTCAGTTGCTCCCAGCCTTTGATTTCTCATGTAAGAGCAGATGTGTGGCTGTGCCAAATTCCTTGTTCCCTCAGCATTCCTTCAGTGCTTTCCACACAGTACTCAACTCTCCCCCTCCCCCAGCTCTCAATTGGCCAGCAAGTGCTTTGCCTTTTTTTTTAATTCACTTAGTGGGGGGTGGAGTCCAACTGGGTCCACTCAGCACGGCGGCCACTGATTGGCCTATTGTACCCCACCCCAGCGCCACTTTGTTCACCACAAATCCCACTTGACCGGACCTGGGATTGAACCCAGGCCGCTGTGGAGGGAAGCCAGCGACTAACCGCTTGAGCTATGTAGTGGCCAAGTGATCTGCCTCACAGTGGGTGTTAATTAAATTTTGTCCAAGTTTGTTAAGCGGATTGTAATTACATCATATTTTATGAATTTACATAATGAACACCTGTACTTAGATATAATACTGTATTATCTGAGATGTATTTATATGTATATGTACTGTAAGGAATGAGTTATCTTGAGGCTTGTTCTACATACTTGGCTTTGGCCTATGAAGACTGTACGGACTGCAAACAAATTGTTTTCTAATCTACCAAACTATCATTCCTAGTTTTTATAATTGGCTGTTTCTGTAATGGATGTGCTTTTGTTACATTAAGTAAATTCACAAGCTGTCATGCATAGAATAAAAATGCTAATAATAATAATACTAATAATAATTTTGTGACCTGAAATGAATGCTATCTCTCTTTATGATTGTTGTGACAGGATTGCATGTGAAAGGAAGAGGTACAGAATAATAATTATTTCTTTATTAAATATTGCATAGGTGTGCATTGTTAATGGAAAACTGGAAGGTTTCCTTGGAACAAACATGAATTGGTGTATTTCTGACCAAAGTAACAGTTCAGGGTTCACTAGAAGTTTCAATTCATCGTGACAAGATTTCCACATATTGTAATACGGTGGTTGTACCAAATAAGATACACCCTCTCCACTTCTAATAGTAACAGTAATAGAATACATTCTGTTAGCACTCTTTACTTGTACAATGTAAAATAACCACATGGCACTCAAAATTTTTGGTTCTCACAGCACATACTGTGAAGAGTTCTGTCTTCTGCAATGCAGTGCCATGTAGTCTGATAAATACTACCAATATTCTAATGACAAGTGCTGCCTTTATCTTCCTCCCAAGCACCGATAACAATTTATCAGGCTATAGAGCATCACATCCACAGCCATGAGAACCTCAAACCTCATGCAGATTCATACAGAACCATCACAGCTTGGCATGGAGACAGCACTGTATCTCCACCTGACATGTTAGCACTTCATCTAATGCGGTAACAGTTGGCTGAGGTACTATGCTGCACGCTGGAAGGCTGCTGGACTGAATCCCAATGAGGTGGATTTTCTATTTACCTAATTCTTTCAGTCGCACTGTGGCCCTGGGGTCAACACAGCCTCTAACAGAAAGGAGTACCAGGAATCTTCCTGGGGGTAAAGAGCGGCTGGATGTGGGTGCTTCAACATCTCAAAACCCTATGGGCCTCCATGGCCTGTTACAAGGATACCTTTACTTTACTTTACTAATACTCTTCATTGCCTCATATATACCAACTACACTTTTGCATAACTCTAAACCAGATGAGGACTATGTGAGATTTGAGGTTCTTGCAATGGTGCCTATAAAGACTGCTGTCTTCTGGGATGTGACACCATATAGCCTGGTAGATCACCACCAATGTTTCAGAGGAACATGGTGCATTCATCTTCACCATCAGTGATCTACCTAACTATGTGGTACCATAGTATTCTTCACAGAAAAGTACTTCCATGTTTCATTTCATGCCAGGCACCCTGTACAAAAATGTACCATCATCATCATAGTAGCAGTCTTCGATCTTGAAGGTGCAACCTTTCTTCCACTTTTTGGCTGGCACTCGGATTCTCCATGGCGGATCCTTACCAATATCAGAACTCATCTCAGTCACTGTGGGATTCAGTCCAGCAGAATGACTGTTTACCATTTCATTGGCGATGTCTGAGTTAGCGTCCTGAATTGCCTCTGACACATGTTCGCACTTACTGTGATTAGATACCATCAACTTGGCATCTGCACTTTTCTCATGACCCTTCTTAATTTCCTTCAAAACCCTCTCCCTGTATTTCTCAAGCGTGACACAATTCTGTCGTGAGTATGATTTCTGTCCACGTAGGAGGAATGAATCACCCTTTGGAACTGTTGACGTATCACGTGCTCTCTGCAACACATCTGGGTCTCTCACATCATCCTCTGGCATGTCTTTACATTTCAGCAATTTGTAGCTTTCTATTATACTTCTAAACTCTGACTGCTTTGGCTTTGGTATGCTGTTTTCATCTCTGAAGATTCCAGCGATGGCTGAAATTAAGTACAGACATTGCACTGTTGTTGTTATTATTATTATTATTATTATTATTATTTCTGTTGATGATGCTATTTTTAGTTTATTTTGGCAGTATCAGTGTCCAAGACAAGAAACATCATAATGATTGGATGATTAGTGAATAGGAAAAGATGTGGAAGGAAAGTACAATAGCCTAATTCAGGTTCTACTCTGGCACCTGCCTGGGAGTATCTGATGAAAACCATGAAAGGTCTCAGCCACGATAGTTGCTGTCCCAGCTGAGATTTGAATTAATCACTTCCTAAATACAAGTCAGAAACAATAAAAGTTCAGTCAAGATGGCCAGTAACCTAGCTGAGATTTGAACTGAGTATCTCATCTAAAGCATTATCACTAAACTAAATATGCTCAATCACAAAATCTCCCCATCTCTGATGACGGGAACAACGATGGTCCCTGAAACGTCAACAATTTTTAACCAACTGACAGTTGAGGGCCCAAGAAGATTTCATCAACTTTAACTTCCAAGAAAGCTACAGGTTGCATATGCTTGATGACATCATACTGATACCAGTAGTTTCGGGAGGTTCATTTCAATAAAGTCAGTCAGTATTACTGAAGCTCAATGCAGAATGTCCATAAGATATGTTCAAAAGTCTTGTATATTCATAATCACAATACAAGACTGAATGAAACAAAAACCAAAATGACACATGTTCACAATCTGCATCAGCAAAGTTCCACATGTCTCTCTTGTAATGTGGTAGATACCAAGACAACACTGCCTTGGCCCAAACATTTTCCTTATTTTCTGAGCCTACCATGATGTGCCCACTTGCCTGGATAAGCAGAAGCTGAGGTTTTCTAATAAGGTGATGTGGTGCCTCCTCTCGGCAACTTTCCACAAAGTTTTAGACAGTTGGATGGGGAGTGATAGTACTTCATCTGGGGCCATCTCGGTCCCTGGATTTAATTCCCATAGATTTTCTCCTCTGTGGGTATATAAAAAGTGGTTTCTGGAGCCATTGGGCATTCAGGCAGCATTGAAACATTCAAACATGGGATTATGGCAGCTATGGAAACCACTACACCAGAAATGTAATGGGTGCTGCAGAATTACAAGGGGGAAATGTGTGACCTGTTCTAATGCCACTTCTGAGTGTATCATTACCTTAGTTCTTGTTTCATTCAATTAAGTATCAGGGTTACAGAAATATAACTTCCTGAAACAAAACACCATAGACATTTTGTGGACATCCTTCCATCAATCATAATAAGACGGTAATTATACCGTTTACTAGGAAGAGAAATATAAAGGGCCTTAAGGAACTGACCCTCTTCAGTATGACAATCCAGCTCTCCAGCGATGTCAAGTACCTTGGTCTAGTATTAGACAAGGGACTGACATGGAAAAAGCAGCTGGACAAGGTCATCAATAAAGCCTATAAGGCTTTTAGGACATGGAGAATCATGTTTGGTAAAACTTGGGGACTGCAGCCACACGTTGTGCATTGGATATACACTGCGGCTGTAAGACCCATAATTACATATGGTGCCACAGTATGGTGGCCCAGAGTTAAACTCACGACAAGCAAGGCAGAACTTAGTAAATTGCAAAGGTTGGCTTGCTTGTGTATCACAGGAACAATTCGAACATCTCCAACAGCTGCAGCGGAGATACTCCTTGGACTCCCCCCACTGCATATACAGTTAGGAGGCGGAGGCCAGGACAGGAATCTACCGTCTCCAGTGCAGGGATCAATGGAAACCTAGATCCGATGGTTTCGGACATGCATACATAACTCAGGACTTGAAAAAATAACCCATATTACAAATGGGGTCTGACAAAATGATACTGAGACATGTATATGAAAAACCCTTCACAGTTAGATTTCCTGGCAGGAGTGAATGGGAAGATGGGTTTTGGCCTGATAGAAAAGGGGGACTGATCTGGTGCGGCAATAAAGAAACCGGATTACTTTTATGACTCATTTCCGGCCACGTTGATGATGAAGAGGAGGGTAGGGCATTGACCTGTGGAGTTCCCTCTACCGTCACACAAAGTTTCATTCACGCGCATCAGTTAGTCTGGCCGCGACCATTGTTAGAAGCGGATCATGTGTCTGAGCTCCGTCAGAATAATGCTGAGTGCTAATGTAGAACGTGTTAACATCAAATTCCTCACAAAACTTGGAAAATCTGCCACTGAAACTTACAATTTGTTGACAGAAGTATATGGTGATCAGTGTCTATCTCGCACGCAAGTTTTCGAGTGGTTTAAGAAGTTTATGGAGGGTAGGAAAAACGTCGGGAACGATCCAAAATCGGGCCGTCCTCCCACTGCGAAAACTCCAGAGAATGTGGAGAAGGTCGCTAGAATTGTTCGAAGAGATCGTCGACTGAGCATTCGAGCAATTTCTGAACTTACGAACATCAATAAGGAAAGTGTTAGACAGATTTTGCACGACGATCTGGGCATGAAAAAGGTGTGTGCTAAAGTGGTGCCAAAAATCCTTACCCCCCAGCAAAAGGAACATCGAGTGAATTGCTGTGTTGACACTCTTGAAAACATTGAAAATGATCCTGATTTCTTCCAAAACGTAATTACGTGTGACGAAACTTGGATTCTTCAATATGATCCAGAGACTAAGCGACAATCCATGCATTGGAAGAGCCCCAAATCCCCTAGGAAGAAGAAAGCGCGCATGAGCAAGTCCAAATTCAAAGCAATGATGATTGTTTTTTTCGATATCCGGGGGGTAATCTACATTGATTGGGTGCCTGAAGGTCAGACTGTCAATCAGGTTTATTATAAAAATGTTTTGACGTACCTCCGTGAACGTGTGCGACGAAGGAGACCAGACATGTGGAAGAATGCCTCATGGGTTCTTCATCACGACAACGCGCTATCTGTGAAGAGGTATTTGGCAAAAAACAACATTCCAGTGATGGAACATCCACCGTATTCTCCGGACCTAGCACCGTGCGACTTTTTTCTCTTCCCGAAAATCAAGTCTGTGCTCAAAGGGACCAGGTTCAAGTCCGTGGATGAAGTGAAGGCAAAAGCGACGCAACTCTTGAAGAGCATAACACAAGATGACCTGCAGCACTGCTTCCAACAGTGGAAAATTCGCATGGAGCAGTGTAGGGATTGGGGAGGGGACTACATTGAAGGGGATAACATTTTGATTGTCTGATTTTTTTTTCAATAAAGGGTTAGAGCATGAATCCGGTTTCTTTATTGCTGCACCTTGTACAGATGGTTCCAAGATAAATAAGGGCACTGGAGCTGGTGTGTACTGCTATGGCATGAGGCAGAAACTTAGTTTCAGCCTTGGGCAGTACACGACAGTATTCCAGGCAGAAGTATAAGCCATTAAGGCATGTATTATGGAGAATTTAGATAGGAACTACAGAAATAGGAACATCTACATTCTATCTGACAGCCAGGCTGCACTTAAAGCACTTGACAAACACCAGATCAACTCAAAATTGGTCTGGGATTGCCACCAAACCCTCATGGAACTGGCCAAACATAACAGGGTACAACTGATATGGGCACCGGTGCATGAGGGTATTGCTGGAAATGAAGCAGCAAATAAATTGGCTAAGATCGGAGCTGAACATCCATTCATAGGACCTGAACCAGCCTCTGGCATCTCTATAGGAGTTGCCAGAAAGGCAATCAGGGACTGGACAAATATGAATCACAAGAAATACTGGGGATCCTTGACTGGACTAAGGCAAGCAAAGGGACTCATATGAGGACCCTCTGCTAAAAAGCGAAGGAACTGTTGAAGTTAAACAGGAACCAGCTATGATAGGTGGTGGGACTACTACTGTCACCTTAAAGGACACCTCTTCAAACTGGGACTAAGTGATAGAACCACTTGTGAGAGGTGTCAAGAAGAAAATGAAACAGCCACACATATCCTGTGTGAATGCGAGGCATTAGCTTACTTAAGAATGCGTTACTTGGGTCAATATTTTATGGAACCAAGTGACTATTTCGATGCCCCCACGTCCAAAATCCTGTGCTTCATTCAAAGCACATGATTGCTGAGGAGATAATCAAAAGAGGAAACACAATAGACCACTGTAGATCGTGGTGGAAGGGCCGAGAAGTCCCACCCCTTATACATACATTCATTCATTCATTCATTGTGGACATCCTCTCTGTGTGTTACAGCACTAGGAAATTATCATATCTTTATATTTTTACATTCACTACTGTTAACAATACCAACATGGAGGCTTCATGAACTAAAGAAAATATAAAAAAGCTGTTTTTGTGCTTAATTGTAATTAAGCTCCACATTATGAAGATGTGTGGGGGTGTGGAGGGATAGGTCCAGCATTCTTTAACTCTGCATTAGATGGAGGTGAGTTGTCAGCTTCCACTCCAGCTGCTTTACACCTGGGGAAAGAGCTCCTGGTACCCATAGAATATGAGGCTGGGTGAGCCTCATGGTTGTTCTGGCCACTGTGCAGCAGAGAAAAATCTCTTGCCCAAGCCAGGAATTGAACCCTGGCTGTCCAGCCCATAGCTTGACACTATATTGACTAAGCTATTTTGGCTCCTAATAAAGAATATACGGATTACAAAAAAATATGACAGACGTTTCCGCCAGTGTTTTAACTACTTGATGTGTGTTTGCATGCATATGCACATGTGCAGAGAGACAGCAAGCAGTGCAGTGCCTGAGTGTTTGAGACAGGAATTAAACACTCCGGCTTCTTAGTAATGGAATAATAAGTCATGGGTCATTACCAGGCCTCTGGGAGACTGGTGCTTGTCTCTGTGTGAACTTTGATAAATGCAGTCTCAGTTCAGGGTCTACCTCCAACTTCCCTTTCTGTAGCAAGTCCCAGTTTTTCTGTACAGCAAGGTCATGTTTCAGAACTCGATCAGCATCCTGTGGACGCCACTTGGATTTCAGGATTTTCTGAAATCAAATGGCAGCACAGCACGATTACAACATATTCATCATTCATTTGCCTCTCTTCTTTCTCTTTCACGATCGGTCAATGTGTGCAACAATAACAAATGTTGTTAAGCTGCCCACTTCCTTCATACCTCCTGGATCTAAATGTTTTCTCCGATGCTTTCACTAGACGTGCTTGAAAACAAGCAGAGCAGGAAAATACACTGCAACCCCCTTTTAATGTTAAATTTTCATGATTTCAATTCAATAAACTCTGAGTTAAATTACTTCCATTTAATATTTTCCTCTGCTACTCCCAAATGAAAATTTGAATGCAGATTCCATTGTATATGAATAATTTTGACATAAATAAGTTGGGCACACAGTATTAATACAGTAATGAAATTTGGTTTATGATGTAGAGAACATGTGGCTCACATGTAGGAGAGAAGAGATGTGTAGATAATCTTGCTAGATAATTTTTTTGAAAGTGGCCATTTGGAAGACTGAGAAAGAGATGAATAATGTGGGATGGATTTTATGCAAATAGGTAGTGAAGATGAAGGGGAGAGAGGGATAAGAAAACGAGGAGGAAGACACACTGGTAAAATGATGGAACAAGTTTACCAGTGTTGATGGAGGATATGTCGAGAAATAAATGTTTTTACCAGGTTCAAATATCGCACATTTTACATTTTATATCATCTGTAACCTTTACACACATATATATAACTGATTATGAACTGCCACAGACCTTCAGAGAAGCAATAGCTCACCCTTATTGTTGCCTCAGATGCTGGAAAACTTTGGGCCAATTTCTCTACAGTCCAAGTATCTGCATTGCTGCTGTGCAGATAATGGATTTGCTCCTTCTCTGCCCATGTCAACAAGTTCGGCCCTTTTTCTTGTCTGAAGTACTTATTGCCTACAATTTTCAGTTGTTTCATCTGCTTCATTTTTTCTTCTTCACTGCAACAATCATTAATTACCACAGATAATGGGAAATATGGGTTAGTTACTTCATGAGGGAAAAACAGAAGAAACAGAATTAGAAACTAATATCTTTGAGGAGCTGGAACTTAAAATTTGACAGAAATCATTACAATGGTTTGCCATAAACATAATTTCTAGAAAAAGAAAAGAGGACTATGGGATGACCTCTGGCAACGTAGTTCAGCCATGTACTGGAAGACATCAAGAAGAAGGTAAGAGATAGCAATAGGTCAAAAAGAAAAGGCCGTGGGAAGAAAGAGGAAACTGGAAACTTATTTAGGGATAGATTCCTTCCACTCTCATCTCTTCGGTCCTTTAAAACACCATAACTTCTTTAATGTTTGGACTGCACTATAGCCAGAAGGCTGTACAATAAGCAGGATCACAGATGTGGCCAACACGTGCAGCTCAAGGACACCTAAATAAAACAGATGGCTAATCCACATAGCCAGATGCAATCTGGGGCAAGTATACAAGAGAAACAAAACAGCATTACAGTGAGCAGCAGATTCCTTAACCTGAAGATGGCCGGTTAGCCCGAACATGTGTCAACAAAGAAAAACGAGTGAACAGTATAGACGTTGCAGACAGACGGCATAAGAGCAAAAAGCAGTCAGGATCACATCAAATCTATGCATTAATATACGAATTAAAGCTGTCCTCTATTTAGCATCTTCAGCATTTCATGAAAGCAATTCAGCACACTGAATACAATGCATATAATCTTCTGCCACTATCATTGCCTACCTTTCGTGTAAATCGTGCATCTCATTTAATCCTGTAAAATCTGCATCGGCATCGTCCACATCACTCAGTTCTTCTACATGTCTGTCTTCAGGTTCCAAAATACCCATGCGTCGCTGAATACCCGGATTTGGGAAACGCGAATAATTGACTTTCCTCCATTCCTTTACTTTAGTTTTTGATACCGTTCCACGCTTCCTTACAATATTCACAATGGGTTTATAGGTTAACATACGAAATCGCAACATGTTCTGCAGTCGAAAGAATATCAAATTACTACAATAACGCCATGGATTAAACTATATGTTGGTACTATACTTCCTAATTGGACACGAGCCAATTTTATTTGCTATTCAGTCATTAAATTAACCGAAATTAATGATACCGTCACATTTAATGTTAACCTTAAACGACCGAAACAATAACGCGCAATGCGTACTGCCAACTTCAGGTCCTACAGGTTCAGGTCCTTCAGGTCGACGTGTATCCGTATGGGGCGCGAAATTTGAATAAATCAATCATGTTCTGAACAGGGGTCCAGGGAAAAGAGGAAATAATCGTACCACATGAAGTTGTCCAAGACTTTTGGTTCAGACAGAATTTAGCATGGTGAGATAGTTTTCACTAGATTATGTTAGCTTAATATATTTGTTAGGGTTGTAGTATGGTACAACGAAATCTATCAGTATATCTTACGATCTGGGAGACTTACTATATGAGGGGGTACCCAAAAGAAGCCGAACTTATTTATTCAAATTTTAAGCACAAACCTTCAATCCCCTTCAGAGTACTCTCCACTTACACTAATACACTTGTCTAGTCTTTTATTCCATTTTTCAAAACATTGTCTAAATTCATCTTTTGAGATGCTTGACAGCGCCTCCATCGTTTTTTCCTTTCATGTCTCTTTTCATTCGAGGAAACAAAAAAAAAAGTCGCACGGGGCAAGGTCAGGTGAGGAACAGGGGTCACACCATTTTTGGTCAAGAATTGTCGTACAGACAGGGCTGTGTGAGCAGGGGCATTGTCATGATGGAAAAACCAGTCACCCGACTGCCACAAATCTGGCCGCTGAGCTCCAAGTCACTCCCGACAGCTCCACAATTTCTTCAATGGTCCGTCGTCGATCTTCCTTGATGATTTCACGAATTTCTTCAACATTTTCATGTGTTCGGGCCGTGGAAGGACGACCAGAACGAGGTTTGTCATCAATTGACATTTCACCATTTTTGAAACGGGAAAACCACTCAGACACTTGAGTTTTCCCCATAGCATCGTCCTTGTACGCAGTTTTTAACATTTCAAGAGTTTCTGTTCCACTTTTCCCGAGCAAAAAGCAGAATTTCACCGCCGCACGCTGTTCACGAAAATCAGCCATTGCAAAAACGACGGATCACACAAAACAGTTGTCACTATAAACTCTGCCGAAACTAGTCCTTACCTTCTGAAGCAACGGTAGTCGGCTTATTGACTCAGGAATGTTAGCTCTATGCGCTCATAGCGGCAAAACGCGGTACTACAAAAGCTCTGCCCACAAAAAAAATTAGTTCGGTTTCTTTTGGGTACCCCATCATATTACATGCACTGGCAACCATTTTGCCCTGTCGTGGTACATTTTACTTCCACCTTCATAACGAGGGATGCACCATTGGCAGATATAAAAATTAAAAACCAAGCTTTGCTGCATGGGTACAGTTGTTATACATACTATTTTTTAGTTATTTGGCAAGATAAAAAAAAAAGACAGCAAAAGAATTTGCTCTCAAACATAAGATTTCATGTACAACAGAACCACGTAGAAGTGAAACCTAATTACAAAAACTATGTTAAAACCCTAGATGAGTCTCTAAATTATCGGCAATTAATTTCACAATAAAAATGCACATAACATAAAACAACAAAATTGCGGTACCACATACAAGCCACGTTTGTTTTTTTTCCAGGATTTAATACATGCTATCAAAAGGCAGATTGGAACATTTTGAAAACTTGGCAATATCAGAACATCCTTAGCCAGGAGTTTTCAGCATATTTGTATGTTATATTCATAGTGCAAGAAATGCTTTGGGCAGTTCATAAGTTATCTGTAGTTCCTATCATAGAGAGTAATGATGTACCAATAATACTATCATGCATGTTGGAACCAACCCTTCATGGATTAAGTGTCCTCCCTTAAAACTGCAGGGGATAAAAGTGCATCTGACAAGAGACTGATATTCCATCTGTATATTTCATTATATTCCCACACAATACAAGGAAAGACTTAGGACAGAAATGCTGATCAGCCTCTGATGATGGGGACAGAGATGTACACACCATCTTAAATGTAGGTAATATCACAGAGCTTACTGACTTGGGATCACTGAAACTGGATGTTAAATGAGTGAAAACAAATCAAGGAATAATAAAATGGCAGTTCAACTGTATTACATTATGTCAGTTCAGACAGTAATGGACATGCTGCTGTTTCTTTGCAACAAACATCACTCTGGATGTGTTTGGTTTTCAGCTCATTATGTTACATGAATATACAATTGAAAGCCTTTACAGCAATTCTAAATGCAGTAAGTATACAAAAAATTATGCAAACCTGAATGACAAATGCATGCACCCTCAAAAATAGGTTACAACTAAAAGTATTTTTCTGTTACTGAAGTACACTGTCTTCTTGGATGACACTTTGTAGTCCTCAAGATCATTACTGATATTTCATGGGGATGAAATGCTTCCATCTTCAGGGTAGAACAGAAAACCAAGAATAAAAAAAAAGTGATATGGATATACATGGAGAGGGGTCTGAGCTAGGGTCTTACTCTTCCAGCCTGAAGATGGAGGCAGAATGTTCCTCCAAAAAATCAGTAACATTCTACCACACTACATAGCTTCAGGTCACATAACACAGTAATCATCACAGTTACCACCATGAAAACATCAAATCTCAGATTTTCTCTTATCCTCTGTTTATTTCTGGGCCCACAACTGGCGCAAAACAGTATTTGCTGTGCAGGCTCTCTTCTTGTCCCATTGCTGTGATGAATCTGGGTTCAACTGTAGATCTGGGAAAACAGTCGCTACACACTGCTAAAAGTCACATACATGGATTCACAAATAATATTTAGGATGGCACACATATAAAGTATGTGAAATTGTGGGGAACAGGAAACAAAAGCAGGCTGACTCAGCAAAACTGACATCTGACATGTCTGCTCTTCATATACGATTCATGGTACACCACAGCCCACAGCTGGCTGCTGCAGACATCTCAGCGAGGCTTCAGGAAGCTTGGTGTCCATCTGCTTGCTAGCGTTCCTGTTTGAGGGTTCTCTTTCAATTCTTTCTCCTTTGCTTCCATTTTGTCCTGCAAGAAATACACACATTCTCACAACTTCAGAAACAGTCTCTGAATGTTTTATTTCATAAAACTCAATGGATTGTCACACGCCTGTGTTACGGAAAGAGTGGCATAATAAACTAGCATTAACTCTGATGTAATATGAGTTCACAAAATTTGTAAAACTGCTTCTTTTAATGAGTATTCATAATATTAAAGAGTGGACAGAATAAATAATCTCACGTCAATTCTGTTGCTTGGAATTATGTGTATCAAAATACAGCACCAAGATTAAAATAAATGAATTGTGGTCTAGCAGTATGTATTCTTTTCAGTATTTTTTTAAACTTCATTAACATGCAGACTAAAAACAGTAAATAATAATTCAACACTCTCACTGTTCAATGTTTTTAGCACTATCTGAATTGAGAAGTTACATTCCTCGTACTTACGAGGTGTGTTCAGGAAATAACGGGAATTTTAAAATTTCGCGGGTTTGGAGAGTCCAATTGTCAAAATTTTTTTTTTATTATGTTGGTATACATGCCCCTGAAGTACAATAAAATTTTCAGCTGTATTCATTGCTTACTTTGTCTGTGGCAGCCGCTAAGGTTAGACGTGTTTTTATGAGCTTGGCGATTTTCGTTTGTTAAAAGAAATGGATCAAAGAATTTGTATCAAATTTTGCGTAAAAAATGAAATAAAGTGTTACAAAGTGTGTGAAATGTTAACAAAGGCCTATGGTGAGTCTGTTATGAGTAAAACAAGAGTTTACGAGTGGTATAAGCGTTTCCAAGATGGCCGTGAAGACGTTGCAGATGACGAGCGCCCCGGACGCCCCAGCACATCAACAACCGATGAAAACGTGGAAAAAGTGAAAGCAATGATTATGAATGATCGCCGAATCACAATCAGAGAAGTCGCTGATGATGTTGGCATATCGATTGGCTCATGCCATGAAATTTTTTCGAATGTTTTGGGTATGAAACGCGTGGCAGCAAAATTTGTTCCAAAATTGCTGAATTTTGAACAAAAACAGCGGCGAATGGAAGTTGCTCAGGAATCACTAAAGGAAGTCAACGATGATGCAGAATTACTGAAACGTGTTATAACAGGTGACGAAACATGGGTTTACGGATATGACGTTGAAACTAAGGCTCAATCGTCTCAGTGGAAGCATCCTGGATCGCCAAGACCGAAAAAGGCTCGACAAGTGCGTTCGAACGTGAAGGTTATGCTTACTGTGTTCTTCAATTTTAATGGCATAGTGCATCATGAATTCTTGCCTCAAGGTCAAACGGTCAATAAGGAGTACTACCTGAAAGTTCAACGCCGTTTGCGTGAGGCAATCCGAAAAAAACGCCCGGATTTGTGGAAAAACAATTCATGGCTTTTGCACCACGATAATGCACCTGCTCACACTTCGTTGCTTGTTCGTGAATTCTTGGCCAAAAACAATACTGTAACGATGCCCCAGCCTCCATATTCGCCAGACATGGCTCCGTGTGACTTTTTCCTATTTCCAAAAATAAAGAGAACCTTAAAGGGCCGTCGTTTTACAAGCATAGATGACATTAAAAGCGCATCGCTGAAAGAGCTAAAGGCTATCCCAAAAATCGAGTTTGAGAAGTGTTTCGATGATTGGAAGAAGCGCTGGCGTAAGTGCATAATATCGAATGGGGACTATTTTGAAGGCGACAACATTAATGTAGACGAATGAATAAATATTTTTTCCAAAATACGGAAATTCCCGTCATTTTTTGAACACACCTCGTACATTACCTCTTGCAATTCCAACTGATTGATTAATAGGAGCTGTCCTTTACAAGCAAAGTCCTACCAATTATTTGCTGCACATCCCTAAGCCTCACCCTCATTCCACCCATAATCTGCTGCACAAGTGTGTGTATTTATGTCAGACGAAACATACTGCCTTGTATCAAACTTATTTGACAGATACAAAACACAAAAGAGGGCTTTATCAAGGACAGTTTTATCCAAAGGCTCATCAAAGACATGCATGATGGGGGTCCACAACTGAAAACATGCATACCATGTTGCCATATTGCACTGAACTTCAGTTGCATTCTCTATGAAAAGTATGCATTGGCAAAAATTTCATTAAGGGATATTTCTGTCTCGGCATTAGTCAAGGCATCCTACAGTGGAGTCCACAGGTGTAAATTTTTAAAGACGCTATATAGTTTGTGAATGCTCAGTTACCAAACCATTCATGGATAGCTGATGGCTTGGTTACGTTACTTACCAGCAGCTTCCTCTGATTCTCCCTGAAGGCCTCCACTGGGTTTGAGAACTGCTGGTAGTAGTCCAGAACATCTCTCACATCTTCAACTTTCTCGGCAGCAATTGCTAAAAACATGACAGAGCTGGTGAATATTACTCTCCTCAATTAATAACAAACACAGACTGGACTGTGTGACAAGTGTACCTACTTCTTAAAAATGTTCCTAAGTCCACCAGAGTCTGGTCGTCATCATTGCCCTTCCACCTTGGCAGTCGCAGCATGTTCCTGGGATGGAACTTCAATGATTCACTATTCCAGTCTATCACAATCACCTGCAATAGGAGACCAGCTGAGTATATGCCTGGTGTGGAAGACTTAACCAAACTCCGAGAAGTGAGTCCCATAAAAGCAGAAACTTAAAAATGAAAAGAAAGAAAATGCAAACAAAGGAAAACCCACAAGCAAAACAGGCTGTGACCTGTTACACAGACTTTTCAATTCATTATTTGTTAAATCATACCAATATTCAATTCTACAGAGCCTGCAATACAGCATCATTAAATGTTTCATAAATAAATAAATAAATAAATAAATAAATAAATAAAGTAGTTTCAAGTACAGAGATGTAGAGTTCATGCTGGTGCATTTGTGCACTAACCTTGCTCAGGTCTCGGTTCAGGCAATCCAAATCCTTGACATGGTGCCCATCAACAAAATGTGTGGCATCCCTCACCAGCCTGTACATTATGTAGCCATTTGGATCTAGGGCATCCAAAATTGGGAACACAGTCTGCAGTGAAACAAGCGATCATTCCAAGCAGAATTATTCTGCTACATCAGCCAGCCATGGCCAGTATCTCCATAGCGGTTCCCAGAAATGAAGCATTAAATAGAATCATTCTTCATACAAGAATTAATGTAAATTAACATAATTCAGTGATGCAGCTTCAGGGTAACAACACAGAATCTCTTGTCAGGATATCTAAATATTAGCAATAGACAAACTGATTAACTATAATAGACCTTACCATGCCCTGCTCAGCAGTAAACACAACCACCTCAAATAATGGTGGAGCTACTTGCTCCAGGAAGTGATCCACACCTGGACGCTTCTTGAACCTCCATCCAGTCTTGTACTGTAGCAATAAGAAAAGGTTACAACTCAGTCTTCATACATGCAGTGTGCAGAAATCTGTGTGTGAATTAAACTGATTTCCATTATATCGCCAAATCTAATATATTACTTGAACATAATAATATACAAAGTAAATAATATTGGTAAATTCATGTTTCATTAACATTAACCTTTACCAAACAATTGATGTGATCCTGAGGCACAAATTTTAATTCATAAAACAGTCAGTTTCAATGTTGCATAGCACAATTTGGCTTATATAGGCCAAAACTGTCTTAAATCAGGTGGAAATAAAACACAAAGTAAACGGAACTCCTAAACTGTAGAACTGCAATTTTTTGGGTTTATTACGTTATCCAGCTTCAAGTCAGATCTGTCTTGCAATTGAATTTGTCAAAATAAGTTATTATCCTCATATACATAAAACGGTATGTTAATTCGCTTAGTGGGGGGTGGAGTCCAACTGGGTCCACTCAGCATGGCAGCCACTGAGTGGCCTATTGTAGCCTGCCCCAGGTGATTATGATGATGGAGAACTTGGTGGAATGAAGATTGGCAGGGGAAACCGAAGTACTCTGAGAAAACCAACTCTGGCGCCCCTTTGTCCACCACAAATCCCACTTGACCAGACCAGGGATAAAACCTGGGCCGCCGTGGTGGGAAGCCAGAGACTAACCGCTTGAGATATGGCGTGGCCAAACATTATGTTAAAATAAAATAAAAATGACAGATATCCAAACATGTGAATCTTGTGAAGATTTAACCCTAGAAATAACAAGACAATATGAACATTATGTAATGTCACTCCACTACAAGAATCGAGTGGATTGTGCCACAACTCAGGCACTTAGTCTCATCAGCTTCTCACCTTGGTGGTCTGGTCTTGATCCCAGGTCAGGTCATGTTGCATCTGTGATGGACAAGATGGCACGTGCCAGTTCTTACTCCACCAATTGCTCTGCATTCATTAATAAATTTATAAAAATAAAAGGAACAGAGTGTATTTACATTTCATATAAGTAGTAAAAACACATAACAAGACTCTACAGGCTGAGACATTGACAGCTTCGTGAAATAACTCCGACACTTTTGTACGCGCATATACAAAAAGAGAAAACCTGGGTCATAGTTATAAGTGATGGAATGCTGTGAAGAGTGCAGTGAAGAAGCTCCTTCTGACATATGTAACCAGTGCACATGATGCTTACCGTCCAATCAGGATGAACTAGCACATCAGTCATCTCCAGAACAAGTGTGTAGGGAGGCTGTATATAGGGATATGTGAGCGGATCAGGCAGCAGTTTCTCCCGTGATGGCTCACGAATCATCTGCAAGCAAATGGCTCATGTGATGTTGATCCTATTCTCGAATATGTGCACCGCGTGAAAGTAGGCAGTACTCCTGATGTTTCAGAAATACATGCTCCCTTCACCTTCATGCCTAAAACGGGCAGGGCAAGTGAATATTCACAAGACAGCGAGTACTTCTGAAATGTTGGCAACACTGCCCACTTCCACAAAGCGCAAATACACATGATTGGGGCTGATATTAACAATGAATTATGCAAAAGTTTGAAATGAGTAAAAAGCTTCTGTAATTGCATCGGCCTGAAAGCACTTCTCTGTCTGCGTGGCTAAACATACTCGTTTGTAATAATCCATTTCCTTCCACATGCGACTGAAGAACTGCTGAATCAATGGCATCTGGCTGAACTCATCCTCTATGATATGGCCATTTTCATCCCTCTTTGGTTTACCTGTGAACACAGGACACAATCCAATGCATTAAACTGACACATGTAATGGATTTTGCTCATCATAAACCTTCAGTTAAAGAGAAGTCTGCTTGCTACCTACTTCATGCTGGTTTCTTCCTTCCCTTATTCTTCAACCTTATTTTTTGTATTGCTAGTGGGGTGGGACTAAGTCCCTTGTACTGTGGCCACTTCTGGCCTATTGTACTAGCCCCAGATGACATGTGAGGGTGATTGCGGAGCAATTGGTGGAATGAAGATTGGCAGGGGAAACCAAAGTACTCGGGGAAAACCTGCCCCAGCGCCACTTTGTCCACCACAAATCCCACTTGACCAGACCTGGGATTGAACCCGGGCCGCCACGGTGGGAATTCTTCAACTCTAAATATGGAGATGACATGTTCCTCCAAATGTCAGCTGACTTTCAGTGGACTGCATGGCATGATATCCCAAAAGACAGAACCCTTCAACACTATACAGTGCTGCTCCTGACAAGGTCACAATATAACGCACAGAAAACAAATGGACTGGTGACAGAGATCAGATTATCTATTGGACCCAACAGAGTATCTTTCATACTTTTACCTGACGGAAGCAAAGTCAGGTTTTGAGATGTGTTTCTTTAAACAAAACAAGATGATGAGAAATGTGCATTATATGTGCCAGTTTAACGATCGACATCTGTAAGGACAAATGTGTGAGGCTGTGAAACTGGCCTGTTTCATCAAGAGGGCATACATGTGCACAGGGGTATCTTTACTCACTGTTAGCATTTCCATTTCAGTGCAATTAACTTAGCTCTATTATCGACTTCCATGACATACTGTACTATATATGCTGGTGAAATTTCTGTCCAGTAATGACAGTACTGTAGTTAAGAATTCTGTTTCATTTTGTTGGGATCTACTGATGATACAGGCACTGCCTATGAGGATGTTTCATTACATGGACAGGCTAATAGAACACCTCTGTAATAAATCTTCAGACTTTACTAACCCACTGCATCTTCAAAGTGTTTCAACAAAACATGTACATATTACAGATAAAAAATTGGAGAATACACATTAGGAATCCCTAAACTACGTACTCTTTTCTTGTCCTGATATAATACAGTGTGTTTAGTTAAGGAGGAAACTTTGTAATACTGCTGACCCAGCCCAACATTCCTCACAGATTGCTGCTGTAACTGCTAATAGAAGAATTAGTCATTAGCACTGATAAACGCGCTCCGTTACAGTTACAGCAACAATCTGTGAGGAATGTTGGGCCCGGTCAGCAGTGTTGCGAAGTTTCCTCCTTGACTGAATGCCCCGTATAACCTAACAAAATTAAATTAAGGGAGACTTAACCAAACATAAGCATGAGATAAAATGGGAGCCCAAACTGCATTCTGCACTTTAACACAACAAAATTCAGAAATACCTAGTTCATAAACCATGTATGATCCAATCATTCCAAACGTGGCACCAAAAGCAATGAGACTGTACTTCATTGCTTTCCAAGAAGCATCTCGTCTCTTCTGCTCCTCACGGTCTTCATCCTCTGGATTTGAAGGTGGTGCCAATGGATTGCTGCTCTTCTTTCCGTCAGCTGAGCTGGCCACATCTTTGGCACTAGGCCATTGTGGAACTGCACACATCACCAAAGCCTCATTACACTTTATCTTGTGGTGCAAGGTGGACTACTTCTGCTTTGCATCTGGGCAGTCCAGAATTTAGTTCGAGAACTGGGTACCTAGTTCTACATGGTTCCATCAGTCTGTCCTCACAAATGCCAAACCACTCTCTCTCTCTCTCTCTCCAAAAAAAAAAAGTGGGGGGGGGCATAAGAAACTGCTCACTGAACTTCATAACGCATAACTTACTGCAGTCCCTATATTTAAACATGGTAAAGGTAAATTTTTCACTGCACTTGAAGCTGGGAGGAATGGAAGTATGGCTCCACCATTCTTAAGCTCCGAATCTGTTGGAGGTGAGCTGTCATTTTCATGCTCCTGCCGCTCTGCCCTAAAGCAAGCAACAATTGATATGCATAAGACAGGAGTGCAAGTGCGTCCGGAAGCCAGCCTGAATGCTATGAAGAAAAATGTCTTTCTTCTGCTAGAAATCAAACCATGAATTTCAGGTCATCTAGCCCATCGCCTAGTCACTATACCAACTGAGCTATCACAGCTCCAGAATATTTATATGAATGTACAAGGGGTGGGCCCTCTTGGCACTTGCACTGTGACCACAGTGATCTATTGTGCTTAGAATATTTAGATACTAGAAAGATATCTGTAGTAGAGAACAGGGGTTATCAAAATTGTTTTTCTTAAAATGTGCATATATCCTGTAAATTTATTCAAATATATTACTACCTTCATACTGTGGTCTTTTGGCTATAACACCATGTAGTCGGATACGTGGTTACCAGTGTTTCAAAGAACTACACTGCTTTCATCTACATATATTAAGATGAGGCATTATGTTACTCTGAAACACTGGTAACCATCTACCAGACTACACAGCATCCTTTTGTGATTTATTTTAAGATACTGTCAGCAAGTACACGTTCCACTAAATCGTCAGCTGACTTCCAATCGACCACACAGTGTTACATCCCAGAAGACAGGACTTTACACACAATTACCTAATTAAAATATACTTACTTACTTACTCACAGAGCTGAGCCCTTCTGCAGGAGCCACCAATTCTGCAGCTACTCAAGAATTTCCCAGCATTTTATGGAACCCGAAGGTTCATTACCGTGTTTACAAGAGCCCTCCACTGGTCCCTATCCTGAGCCAGATCAATCCAATCAATACCACCCCATCCTATCTCTCTAAGATCCATTTTAATACTGTCCAGCCACCTATGCCTTGTTCTTCCCAGTGGCCTCTTTCCTTTTGGCTTTCCCACCAATATCCTACATACATTAATTAAAATATATTTTTGTGAAAATATGTACTTGGTTTAATTTTAATAAGATGTAAATGTTGAAGGGAAAAAATGTGTTCCTACATGAAGAAGAAAGAATGACGACAGATTTTTTAGATGCTACAATTATCTTGAGGGACTGAAGAAAGCAATGGAAAACTTGGTCTGGCCAAGATGTTAGGCCACTTATCACCTTAATACAGGCCTAAAGCAAAAATGCCATAACATACATTGTCACTTTGTCTCACATCTGAAATACTGCAACAATTTCTGGCCTCACTACCACAGTGGTTACATGCTAAGGGGACAGCAAACAACAACATTAGATCTACTGGACCTCCAAAATGGGTCATTTATCTTTAGTTAGTTATTTTAGAGAGGGTGGGTTTCCCCATGCACCGCGACCAGTTTGATCTATTGTGCTTCCCTCTATGATATTCTACCAGTCTCTTTACCCTACCGATAAATGGTGCGTACCATCAGTCCCGCCGAGCAAGCGAGTTCGGCCACTTGCTTAGCGGTGTCTATAATGCTTCCCCCATCTATCAGAGGCCTTAGAGACTATTGTTGGGTGGGAAACGTCCTGGAATTTGGCTCAGTGATCCCCTTTGGGGATATGAGGTTCTTTTACGTGCCGTAAAGTTACGACACGGGACACACAGCTTAAAGTCCATCCCGGAGGACTTGTTCCCTGAATTTTTCCGCCCTTAAAAATTCGACGACCTCCGCCGGGTATTTGAACCCACGTACCACGAGTCATGAGGCGGGAACGTTACCTCTAGACTACGGAGGCCGCTGTCATTTATCTTTATAATGATGTCATATCGATGCCTAGAGGTTATGTATGTACCTCCTTGGCCTCGTATACTTTTTTCAAAGTAAAACATGGTTTGAGATGGCAGTGGGTATTACAGTTGCCAAAGATCCATGAATTTGTATCAATTATGCATGATACTAACAAAATGATTGTGGATCATCAGCATGGGTTTCGATGTTAACAGATCTACTACTGATCAGATCACTTGCATTCATCAGACACTGGAGAAAGAATTCAAGTACAATGAGACAGTACATACGCTATTCAGATTTCAAGAAAGCCTATGATTCAGTGAGCAGGGAGGTACTGTATAATACAGGGGGCAACCATGAAATTAGTTAGGCTGATTAAAATGGGTTAAATGAAATGTATAGTAAAACCCATATACATAAACATTTGTCTGATATATTTCCTATCTAAAATGGTCTAAAACAAGGAGATGCCTTATTGCCATGACCTCAACTTTGCTTTAGAATATGCCATTAGGAAGGTCCAGGAAAACCAGGAGGGACTGCAAATAATGGGACACATCAGCTGCTCGTCTATGCTGATGATGTGAATCTACTGTGTGATAATATAGATACCATAAAGTAAAACACAGACACTTTAATTGATGCTTGTAAGGAGATTAGTCTACAAGTAAACACAAAGGAAACTAAGTATATGTTTCTGTCTCATCACCAAAATGCAGGACAAAATCATGACATAACTTTAGCTAACAGATCCTTTGAAAATGTGGCACAGTTGAATATATGGAAATGACAGTAACAAATCAAAATTCAATTCAGGAGGAAATTAAGAGGAGACTGAATTCAGGTAATGCTTGCTACCATTCAGCCAAGAACCTTTTGTCTTATCAGCTGCTGTCTGAAAACATAAAAATCAGAATACAGAAAACAATAATTCTGCAAGTGGTTCTGGATGGGTGTGAAACTTGGTCTCTGACATTAAGGGAGGAACATAGACTGAGGGTGTTTGTGAACAGTGAGCTGAGAAGAATATTTGGATGGAAGAGAGATGAAGTGACAAGAAGTTGTTGAAAACTGCATAATGAGGAGCTTCATAACTTGTACACTTCTCCAAGTATAATTTGAATGACAAGTCAAGGAAGATGAGATGGGCAGGGCATGTAGCACGAATGGGGGTAGAAGAACACTCAATATATAATATTGGTGGGAAAGCCAGAAGGAAAGAGACCTCCAGGAAGAACAAAACTTAGGTTGGTTGATGATATTACAACGGATTTTAGACAGATAGGAAGGGGTGATGTGGACTAGATTGACCTGGATCAGAATAGGGACTAGTAGAGGACTCTCGTGAACATGGTAGTGAATTTTCGCGTTCCATAAAATGTTGAGAAATTCTTGAGTACATGCGTGCCTGCCGGTTTCTCAAGAAGGGCGCAGCTCCAACAAGTTGGTTAATTAGTACACACACACACACACACAGTTTCTCTCAATATACGAGTATATGACTTTTAGTGCTATGATACGAAAATACTAATCTTATAATTTTATTTTACACTAAAATATAACTGTTTTTAGAATTATTTAAAATTCATTTGTTTTGTTTCATGATACCGACTATTACTAAAATGGACGATTTCCAACTAGTGTGCTAAAAAATACCGGAGCCCAAAGTTCACGTATCTTCGACACTGAGTTATAAATTTATAAATAATGCAGTATTATGAAGAATGAATGAGGTTATGTAGCTAATTCCATGCATCGCGATTTCGTTGCTTAATTGAATATATACTACCATTTACATTCGAATACCCTCTAATAACTGAAAAAACAGTTCCATTAAACTCATTGCAACTGTAAGCACAACACTTCCTTGACTGTGACGTTCTAAACCTTGGAATAAAAACACTTGCTACTCGCATACACTTCAACGAAACGTTTGCCATTGTTACATATGTTAACACCGGTTAACATAGATGACATAGATCACAGACACATATCATCAACCTCATCGACACTGATCGCATGGATGAACAGGAAAGAAAAAGACGGACTCATCTTGACTATAACCCATGATACCCGTGACGCCCGTGACACGGATTACCAACATCCGCCAACATACATTCAAGCGCGGCGTACAGTTCGAGTTTGGTGTGTTAATATTTGTACCAAGAAAATATATTTTAAACAGCTATGGTTAGTATAAATACAAAGTTTAGATACACTTTTACTTATAAGCAAATTGATTTGTATCTGGTTTGATCGTGTACATTTATGGTTGCACCCCGGTTTTAGTGGAGCCGTATTTCAGGTTCAGAAAACGTTGATGCAGTGGTCTCACTTCTACTTTGTGAGGTCCTTTGAAGGACGTGATTGTTCAGCTAGATGTCGTTATGTACACAGACTATATGATTATAATTACTGTTAATATGCAGGTATCTACCATGGTCTACTACCTAAACGTGACAGGAAATTTTTAAACTTATTTATATTATGTTAAATGATGTTTTGAATAACTCAACCGTACAGGGTCAAACGTTTGGATGATAGTGTATAATGCACTAGAAAGGATGTGGAAAGTGTTTGTTATATAATTTAACGTAGTATCCTGCAGTTTGCCAGAAGGGGCTTAGGAAAACAATGAAATAGTAGGTGGTGTGGCTGAGATTTGAATGGGGAACCTTCCAAACACCAGTTGCTGTTACTTTGAATGAGCCACCTCCCAGTTAGCAGTTGGTGTTACTCCTTTTGCTAACTTGCCCAGTGTGGTGTGAAGGTATCCATGCCCTGATCACCATGAAACCTACGCTGTTTTTCCATAAGCTCCTCGTATGATTACTTATACTAGAGAGTTTGAAGAGTGGGGGGAGATGGAAGGTTGTCCCTGCTAATCCAGGTCGAGAATTGGACATGAGGCTAACCTCACCTCAGAAAACAATTTATGTTTAAAAAATGTAATGCTGGATGGATAGTTGATGGAAACTGCTAAAGGAAGGTTCTGAGGAGAGCGACATCTGGTGGCTAAGAATGTTTTCATTTCACTCTTGACAGGAGTACTGACATACATTTGGCATTCATGTGATTAGAACTTATCAGAGAAGTGTGGCGAAGAAAGATTATAGAAATAAGCCAGAAAGGAAGTAGCACTAGAGTAGGTCATCTCCAAGTGCTTCGGTTTGCCCTACGAACTCACATTCCACCAACTTCTGTACACATCATCAGTCAGGCCCAGTAGGGTATGACATACCAAATGGACTGAGTGCCACCCCACTCCAAGAAAAGAGAAAAAGAAAAGATAGGCAGAATGAAAGAGGGATGATTCAGAATGAAATGGCTTGAAGATACAGAGAGTGATTTATGAGGGATGAAAGTGACAAGATGGATGCACAAGGCAAATGATAGAGAAGAATTAGTGTGTGTCATAAAGGAGGCCAAGGTTCCTGGAGGACCTCAGAGGCAAGAAGTAAAAAGGTAAAGTCCCTGGGCTTAATTAAGTACTATACCATGGAAATGTATGGGGGAGCGGAGGTATGGTTCCACCATTCTTACCCTCAGCACTAGATGGAGGTGAGTGGTCAGCTTCACACCCATCCACTTTATCCCCCACTACTTACTGGGTAGGAGTCTGGGTGGGCCAAAGAGCTGGTCTGGATGCTGCAGAGAAGAGAATGAATAATCTAATCCTTCTGTCAGGAATCAAACCCCACCAGATGGAGGTGAGTGGTCAGCTTCATGTGTTACCTGCTTTAGCTCTGGGAGAACAACCCACCATACTCCTACTGATTCAGAGACAGGGTGGGCTCCAGAACCAGTGTGATTGTTAAGGGGAAGCGGAAAATCCTTACCCATACCAGGAATAGAACCCGTTTTTTTTTTTGGTTGGCCAATTCATAGTCTAGCCACGATACTGACTGAGTTGTCCTTGCTCTGGCCCTTCAAGAATGCATTAAACTAGATTTCGGTGGTACATCCTGTCGTCCTCATTAATATGCTTAAGAAACTTTAGAACTTAAGACAAATGTTTGCAGATGGATACTCTCCAGGAGCAGTTGAAGACATTGAGAGAAACGATAGATGCATTTCCCATCGGAGCAGCAACTTGTAATGAGTATTCTTTGGAAAATGAAATTGCAAGAACTGCCGACACAATCACTTTAGTCAGTGCCAGACTACTGATGCTCAGAGCTCAGGACAAGCAGCGTAAGTACATGTTCTGTGATGCCCAGGCTGACGTGACTGCACAGGTAGACATGCAGCTATGTAGGGTGCGATATTTTTGTTACATTAAAATACACATTCTGCATTTATTTGATCATATAAATGTCACTGATAGTCATCCAAACATGTTATGCTACAATGTAACTGTAATTTGACTAGCACTGTCTTTTGGGCTGTGTTGTTATGTAGTCTGGTAGAAGGTATCTGGCATTTTGGAGGAGTATGCTCCCATCATCTTCAGGCTAGAAGAGTGAGCTAAGCAAGCAAGCAAGCAAGCAGAGTGTTGGCTGGATGCGTGGCATCCTCTTTGACTCCGAGGATGGAGGCAGCATGTTCCTCTGCAACATCAGTCAACGTCTACCAGAATACGCAGCATTACAATCTAAATGCTGTGAGAACCTCAAATCTCATATAAATAAAACTGTTTTAAGAACTGCAACACCAAAGACAGTCTTCATCATAGTGTCTAGAAATGTTTACTATGGCAACAAAAGTTTATGAAAGTTGATGTGTTTTTAATCGAGTCAGAGGATTTTTCCTTGTCTGGAGTAGCATTTAGGTTTGTTCTGGACAATGCCATCAGTTTCTGTCAGTAATATTCTGTGATATTCAGTGTGAAGCATAACCATATGGTGCACAACAACAAGGTGGTGCCAGGACAGCTTATGACAAGCTATTATTAATATTTCAGGAAGACTTCCACAAGATACAGAGTTGCTTGACCTCCGCCAATTTTCTGAAGTACTGGACGAGTATGCAGAAGAAATATCAAAGGCTAGTCTGCGCAAATTGGCATGGAAAAATTCCATTGAAGCATCTGAGATCCGTAGGCTGATAGCAGATTCAGCATTGGATGAGCCAGGAACATGCCCAGAATCTTTTCAGTAAGTGTTATTTATGAAAATGGTATTCACTTTGCAGTCATATAAAGATTTGTTTCAAATTCCATCTGGTATACTGTAATATCCCTTATCACCAAGGTTATTGAGTGTGTGTGAGGACAGGCACTTGACCATTGGACTACACTGTGTACTGCATGGTCCAGTTCCCTGAGCTTTGCAATTATTCTCTAGTAACATTACCTCTCGCTGGTCACGGTAGCTGAATGGTCTAAGGCATGCACTGTCTTTGCTCACTTGGAAGCTGGGATCATGGGTTTGAATCCCAGTCAGGGCATGGATGTTCTGTGTTTGTGTACAGGTAGAGGCCTTGTGATGAGCTGATCACCCGCCCAAGAAGTCCTACCGAATGTCTAAGATCTAGTAAATCAAAGTGAAATGGAGAGTTTCATGGAGGTAGGCTCAGGCCAAAATGGGGGCAAAAATGTTACCCCAAGTTAAAATATAGTTGCCAGCTCAGTAGTATTTTCTGTCTAACACATCTCTGCAGTTGTGTCATACCTTAAGTAGGCAACCTTGTGGAAGAAGGGTCCTGCATATGATGAACAAGAGCTTCTGTTGTGGTGATTTTGGTTCCAGTTTTGTGTTGAAAATATAATCTTGTCACTTTTTAATGATTTATATCAATCTACATCACTGTCTGATGATGAGGCACCTTCATGATGTTTTAGACACAGCAGCTCAGGAAATTTACTCAGAGTCAGAGTTACTTTATGACTGGCGGTTTACCGCCAATCAGTTCGTCTTGGCGACAAGCCCCTTGAGACTCATGACACAGTAATTTTCTTTTCCAACTGTCCTTACGTAACACCCTCTCTGACAAGAGGATGGGTTTATCGTTTACAATTGCTGCTGGTCCCCGCCAGTGCAGTTATTCTCAGGTCAGAGTCCTGCAGGACTCATGACCACATTGTACTGTCTCAGATTCAAGACTACCCCAACTTGGAGGGCCAGGTCCACATATTTATATCCCCCATGAACAGGGTGGCCTGGTTATACCCCCAGGTACTGGGTTCCCTTTTTGGCGCATCCTATGACTTGCAGGGCTGTGGTGGATGTATTCGACCCCACATCCACATGCAAATAGAACTACCCTCTAGGAAATATAAAGTTCCTATTCCTGGTTAAAATATATCTGGCAACTTCATATTACCTACAGATTTAGAATCCCCTATTCCAGGATTCCTGGGTAAAATACATCCGACAACCCTATAGCACCAAGGTATTTAAAATCCCCTACTCCTAGCTAATAAAGGTGACATACGCAACCACCAGATGGAGCAGTAGTGTGAACATGATGCTGTGTGCAGGATCTTGGTGGATCTGCTGACCACAGTGACCAGCTTGAACTGTCACTTGAGGGGTGTACTGAAGGAGCAGCGAGATACAGCACTGCAGATCACAGACAGACGGAAGGAACTACAGCTCAAGTTGCAGAACTACAAGGAACTGTTGGTGGCACAGGAACTGGACTGGCAAGAACATGCCGTTGGGCAGGAACGGGAAAACATAGAGTAAGCGACTGGATGGTGCCTGCTAACTGGAGAAATTTAGAATATAATTCTTCTACTATCTTAGTTGTGTTTCAGTGGCAGTATCTTCCTGCTTCCCTTAAGCAGTAATGCACTTATATCAATAGTACAGTGATTTCGTAGACTTATTTAAAAGGAGTGTACTTTTTATAATTTGTCTGATGTACCTAGAATGACAGATCAGAGTGTTAGTGTGCCCACATACAACTGTAGTGGGAATGACAACTTATCTGTTTGTAGCCCCTTTGTTAGTGTAAATGTCATGTATTTATGTGTTTAAAAAATCAGTTCCTCTTAATTCATTTTGATTATGGCAAGCATGGAAACCAGTCTTGAGTGTATGGAGAGAAGGGAAAAATAAAGCATTACATAGACAGGAGAGAGCAGTCATCCACAGCTTGCATGTTTACAGTATCTGTATGAACTGTGCAGTACAGGGGTATAGCAAGAAACATGTTTCTTGTAGAACGCCATTATCTGTTGAATGCAGACAGCAGAGTTCTAGCTGCATCATATGATGTAGAAATTATAGAGATATAAAGAGTAATTCTGAATTGGAGCTGAGGTTTTCACAGCAGCAACCATAAAAAGTTCTGTCTTCTGGAATATAATGCTGCATAGTGTGTTGAAGGTCAACCAATGTTTTGGGGCAACATGTCACATCCATTTTTAGCTCTGCTTGCTACCTGTTCATGATGGTTAGTAAAAAAGTAAAAAGTAAGGTATCCCTGTAACAGGCTGTGGAGGCCCATAGGGTTGTGAGATGTTGAAGTTCCAACATTTTATAGACATTTGGCTCATAGATGGCAGTGGGGTTGTCAGCCTTATGTGCCGGCCGCCCTTTACCCCCCAGGAAGATTACTGGTACTCATTTCTGTTAGAGGCTGAGTCAAACCCAGTGCCATAGTGCGGCTGGAAGGATTAGGTCAATTGAGAAAATCCACCTCATTGGGATTCGATTCCACGACCTTCTGGCTTGTAGCATTCTTGATTCAATTATTCTTTGATCACGAAGATGAAGGCTACATAATCGTTCATTTTCAACAGATTGCATGGTATTATATCACAGAAGATACTAGAACTCTTCATGAGAAAAATTGGTTTATAAGAGAATTTATTGCAGTTGTGTCATAATTTGAATTGGGAAATTTTATAAATGATTTGTTTGTTTTAGGCTAAAGAAGAGGTTACAGTTGAAACTAGAGAAACTGAATGTGATGCGGATTCTCATGGTAAACCTCATAGGCTTTAGCAACATCAACTATATTAAGCATCAACAGTGGACTGACATGCTCATTGAGAAGCAAGGACTTCTTTCATTACAGTCCTTTACACCTTCTGACTCTGCAGCACAATGAACAGCTGTACACTTTATGCATAACTTGAATACAAAAGAAGCACAAAAAAGTGTTACCTAGTAAGATATTTAGTGGTCTTTATATTTAGTTCTTACATCTAGATAAGATCTCTGGAGTACATATACTGTTTATGCTTCTTCCTGTTTCTCCTGTTTTATAAATGGAAACTTGAGACATAAAATTGCAACCAAATGAACCACCAGAGTTTCCAGACCAATCCATGGCCATTCACACTTGTGGAAATGGACATCAAATTGAAGACAAATAGCCAGAACCTTCATCTAGTTAGCCACTGAGCTTGAGACCGTCTGGGTTGATGTGCTTACAGTATAATTTCCAGACACCGTGAAAGAGAACTAGTGTGAGCTTCTCACACGTGTAGTTGTGAATCTTGATCCTCTCAGGTATAAGAAGCAGACACTTCTCCCACAAAGTTGAATCTGCTTTGGTTCCGCTAGTGGAATTGATAAATCTACAGCCTAAACATAGTAAATCTGATTACAGATGTTAACAAGTGCTCCCCGAAGGTCCATGTACATTCAGAGTTCTCCACATAAAAGTTTGATCTATGCGTTGATGTTCTTACAAAACAGAACTTCCCTTTTGACATTTCCCTACAGTTCTTCATTTCTATGAGGATCCACTGATCTGTAAATATGTTTTTAAAGTGAGACTTGACATTCTTATGGCAGTGGCTCTGAAGAAGGTACCACTTTCTTCTGAAATGTTGGTACCCATCTACTGAACCATGTTGCATCACATTCTGGAAGACTAATCTTTTCATTTTAAATGTAACTTGGGAGATGTTCTTTTAAGTATTGTAATGTGTAGTACTGTTGCTATTCACTGATTGCGAGAAGGAACACGCATTGCTTGGTAATGGTTGGTAAACATGTTCCAATGGAAATGATATCACTATACAACCACCCCTGACAACAATAGAAGGATTGTTAAGAGGTGGTGTTTTCTGTTGGGTCTTCTCTGAGTTTATATAATGAGGACAGCAGCCAAGCTGCAATCAGTTGTTAACAGTTCAGTTGAGTGAAGTGACATGAAGTAGCTGATTGGTGAGAGAGTTCAGGTGTCAATTTAGTTGAAAGTCAGTCTGTGAAGAGAAGACTTGGAGATTGGTGTGAAATGGCCACCAGTCTGGAATCCAGTTAGTTGAGTTGTCAGTTGACAAGAGACTGGTATAATTACTGTGTTGATATCTGTTGCCAGGATATGACTAATGAAGACTGAGAACCCTAGTGTGTGTGTAACAGTGAACTGTAAAGTGTGTAGATCAGCGATGATGCTATATTAATTTAGTTATAAGTTGAGTGTATAACTACAATAAATCCAATTATCCAATCCAAACCCTGTCTAACCATCACACCCCTTCAAATATATGACAATATTTATCCTGATAGTTACTGCAGTAATATGTTTAATTACAATGCTCCCCAGGGAATAATCTCAATGTTAAATTTTCTCCATTTAAAAATATCCTTCAGTTTAGTGTTCATATCCATTGCTGTCCTAAGAATCCTTAAATGGGGGTTTCATTCTACCATGTTTATACAGACAGAACAACATATTTTGTAACTTCTCAGAAACATAACACACAATGTAGAACGCAGCTAGAATGACAAAAGAACTTGAGTAAACGAGCAAACAATTCACTACATTTGACTACCACTGAAAATAAGAATGACAGTCCCTGGGGGAAAAGCAGGCACCTCATCAACCTCCGTCATCTTGTCATGAACAACAGTCACATGGTTATCCAGTTTCTTATGGAGGTGAAAATGCTGCCTTCTTACTCCTCTTTCATCTGGGGATCATCTTCATGCTCTGCAACTGTGACCTCAAAACGCCTGCCACTTACTCGACGCAGGTTGTAGCGACTACTGCCACACAATGGCTGGGTAGAATGAGGTGGTGACTGCATCTTCTGGGCCCCCTTCAATCTCTGAAGCCGGAAGTATCCATCATCATCACATTTGTACCTGTAATAGACAGCACTCAACTGTTTTGTCTTCCCAGGGTTCCTGCAAGATATAAAACAGTACTCCCTGGACGGCTGAGGAGTCAGAGTTTGAGTCCCAGTATGGTAAAGAATTTTCGCTTCTCTGCAGCGTCCGGACCAGCTCTGCAACCCACCCAGCCTCCTATCCAATGGGTACCAGAGGCCCCTTCCCCAGGCATGAAGCTGACCGCTAACCTCCGAATTGTGGCGAGGTCTAGAAAATGTGGATCTACACACCCACTCCTCCATACACCTTCATGGCGTAGTGCTTGATTAGTTAAGCACAGAGAGAACTTTACTCATAGCTTTTTACTCCCTTCAGATAAACTCAAATTATCTACACTTGTGGGTTGTAACACTGTGTACTTCAGAGACAGCCTACTTTTGCTGGTTTCTAGCTTGGTTTACTCTTCAGACCTGAAGATGGAAGCAACATGTTCCTCAAAACCACTGGGCGCACTTTGACTTCCTATAAGTGAACTGTGTAATTTTGATGTGAACTGCTTATGTTTCTCAATAGAGTGACATAATGGAAACTGTTTATCACTACATTAGGAATTTGCATTTCAGATTCAGTCAGGAATATTATTTTCTTGTTATCTTACCAAATTTTGTTAACTAGTTCTTGGCTGTGACACTGTGCAGTCTGGTATTAGTCGACTCAGTTTTGGGGGAACCTGCTGCCTCCATTCAGGGTCAAAGAGTAAGCCAAGCAAGAAGCCATCAACAAACAGGCAGTAAGCAAGGCTCAAAAACAGTGGACTCCTACTGGACTACACAGCATTAAATCCCAGAAAGTGGTAGTTTGCTGTGTGACACAGAAGGAAAAGTATTTTGATGAAGTGCAAAGGGAGCTTCGAACTGTACATGATTTCAGAGGCAGTACTGAGACAGTAAGTGCAGTGTCCAGTAGGTCGATCTACAAAGTCTTGTGACAGGGCAACCACGCTGAATACAGGTGCACTGTACACCACCAGCTGGAGAGTGGACAGGAAGCAGGAAATTCAATCCATGGGGGGACCCACAAGCAACTGCTGCCCTTTTGTGGGACTCTGTGAACTGTACCTGGTGCCTCAATACTCCTGACATCATGTACCAGCCTAGTTCCCCCCTTGCCCTTCCTCATTCAAACATCTCTTCTAACCTCTTCTCCTTGAACAATTTTTCCTCGCCTCTTTTCTCCTCAAACATTTGACCCCCTTTAGAGGTCACCATCTCACAGTGGCTCGCTTGCAGCCTTATTTCTGCTCTTCCTTTCCTTACATTTGTACCATGGTTACTATTCTACCCTTAAGATGGAGGCAACAGATTCTTCCAAAATGTTGGTACCTTTCTACCAAACTACAAAGCATCATATTCAAGAAGACAGTAATATTCCTTGAGGTCATGTCTGATAACTTTGAAGGACAGAAAAATACTGACATCGCCTGATGTCTTGTGACTTATGCTCCCGTGTCCCCAGGCTACATAGGATTCATCACAGTCCGGTACAGATTCAGAGTGGCTTCATGGTGCAGCAACCATGTACAAAACATTGATTGCTGTGGATACTTGCTGACCTCGTGTAACTAAAGTGTGGAGGGAATGCAAGAGCTGATGTTTTCTGAAACATATGTTTATGCATGTGTAGCACCTTCCCATCTAAGTTGTTCACCCTGTGCTCACAGCTTTCAAGATATTTGGCTACAACAGTGTATGCTATAATGTTGGGTATGACGTCCTTAGCAGCGACTAAGAAAATACTATATTCTGGGGTGTAATGCCATGTAATGTGTCAGAAGTTCACCTATCTTTTGGAGAAACATGGGTGAACTTCTGACAGACTACACAGCATTACACCTGAAGAGAAAATACTCTATACATACCACTGTATCATATAAATATGGGTGGGGAGACATAAACATTTAAAGACCAGAAATGACAGAATGATCTTACAAGTTTGGTTGTTATTATTGAACTGTACTGTCTGTAGCTGCATTATGAGCCCAGTCATTTCTGTGGCACAGAAACAGTGTAGCCTTCTCTTCACACACAACATCCTACAAGTTACACTGACCTGAATCTGGAATGCCCTGGTGGCCAGAAGATGCTGTGCTGAACCATGAGGTGCTGTGTGAGCAGGGACCCACGTTGAAACAGATTATCACATATGTGGCAGCAGTACATTGGCTCGTCATCCCTACGGTGAGACTGAAACACCACAACAAAGCGACATGCAATGACAATGTACACTAGCAGTGAATGCCAAGTGCACACAGGTTTACACTGGACTATAAACACAGTGAAAACTTGAGGAAGAAACTGTTGAACTTGGAGTTTGACACTATTACATGTCTTCTAGAATTGTTTTCATTTTATGAGTCGATGGATGAAAAACCGGCACTCTTCTCTCTTCTACCATAACAAACCTCAGATTAATCAGACCAAACTTAATTCAGAGAATTTCAAATTTTGTGACACAACCACCACCTAAAACAATAAATAAATTTATGAACCTTCCCATCTCTGCCAGTCAGTGATAGGAAATATGGGAGTTGGTAACGTCTCACACTTAGTAAGTGAGAAAGCACTTATATTTCAAATGTCAGTCTCAAGAATGGCATTTTATCCTCCCAAGACCTAAAATGGTAAAACAGAAAGGCTTTAAGGGGATACAGTTGCATCCAGTCTCAAGGACCTATCGGTATGGCTCACGTAACAAGTGATGTCATGCACACAGAAACACTAATCTGTTCTTTTGAATGAAGTCACAAAGGTGGATAAGCTCATTTGGTTGAATGATGAGCACAGAGGTGAAGCATGTCAGTCTGCTGCCTGGCTTTGTGCAGGGCAAATCGTCTAGTAACTGAGAAATAGGGCAGTACCATAGCTGAGGCAGTTACTCACTGGCTTCCCACTGTGGTGGCCTGGGTCTGATCATGTGGGATTTATGGTGGACAAAGTGGTGCTGGTGCAGGTTCTCTCCGAGTACTTCAGTTTCCTGTGCCAATCTTCATTCCACCAATTGCTCCACAATTACCACCATCTATCATCAGGGGCTGGTACAATAGGCCAGCAGTGGCCGCAGTACCAAGTGGACTCAGTCTCACCCCAATGATGATGATAAAGAGAAATACTGCCACACTACTGCTTCCCCTCATGTTCTCTCATGCACGACCATATGCCACCACTTGTTCCACGAGTACTACAGTGAAACCATATACATGAGTTCACATACCTTGCGGTAATGCTTACGAAGCCCATACCCACTGCGACATGAGAAGGTGCATCCCTTCACCTCACAGCAATAACGTGGTTCTGAGGAATGTGTGTTCAAGTGGCATTTCAGATCATACTGTGTCTTTGCTCTGGAACACAGTTCACATCAGACGAGTTACATTGTGATGGTGCCTTGCTACTGTCTAAATCCCTTCCAATTCATCACTCATCCTACCATTTTAAGCTGTATAGCCTAAGATACGTATGGCATAAAATAAGCCACAGAAAAGCTACATACATCATTCAGAAAGTAAAGATTGTTTGGAGATTTAAATAAAAAAAAATATTTTACATCTTTACTACAGACTTTGAGTAATTTTTCTATATAATCCCAATACCAAAAACAACTGGAGAATGTGAAATGTTTTAAATATTTGGGTAGCTTGTTAACAGATGATGGAAGGTGTACTTGTGAAGTTAAATCCAGGATTGCCATGGCAAAAGCTGTTTTTAGCAAGAAGAATCATCTTTGTACCAGCAAATTGGACTTAAATTTGAGAAACTAATGAAATGCTACGTTTGGAGCATAGCTCTGTATGGGGCTGAAACATGGACACTTAGGGCAGTAGATCAGAAACATCTGGAAAGCTTCGAAATGTGGTGTTGGAGAAGGATGGAGAAGATCAGTTGGACCGATTATGTGAGAAATGAAGAAGTGTTAATTAGAGTCAGTGAGCAGAGGAATATCCTACATGAAATAAGAAAACGGAAGGCTAATTGGATTGGTCATATTTTACGCGGTAACTGCCTTCTAAAAGAAGTTATTGAAGGAAAGATAGAGGGGCGGATAGAAGTGACCAGAAGACGAGGAAGAAGATGCAAGAAGATGCTGGATGACCTTGGGGACAGAAGAGGATATTCTCATTTGAAGGAGAAAGCTCTAGATCGCATTGAGTGGAGGAACTGTTTTGGAAGAGACTGTGGACCTGTTGTCTTGACAGATTACTGATGAATGAATGATGAATGAATAAGCCCAATAAAACTTCAGACACTTGTATTGTGTGACGAATTTCTGTATGCCTGCATTATAGAAACCTGCTGCTAGTCCACTGAACCGGTCTTTTACTGTCGTCTTCACTTCTCCATCACTATCCGCGCAATTGCCACCAAAAACTGCTTCAAGTGTGTGAACAAGTGAAAATCACTTGCAGCCATGTCCAGACTGCAGGGAGGATGGAAAAAAATGAAGTCCCAGTCTACGTAGTGCACGTGCACATATGGTCTTTACTTTCTGAAGAACCCTCTCATGCATTAACTCACTGTTGGTGAAAAATGCCAGTTTCGTAATGCTGCAAATGTGATTATGGATGTGAATGGCTTAAAAACGCTAAAACAAATGTCTGTATTATGTAATGTCAAATGATCATGAATGGTGCATAGGGATTTGTGACTGCTCTGAGTATACGAAAGTGGTACCTTGTTATTCATCTGCAAGGATGGATACCTCGGTTGGTTTCTCCTGTTCCCCAGGTGAAATTCAAGCAGTTGGGACACAATCAGTGAGAAAACTGAACAAGCCTACTCACGTGAATTCACAAAAATTGCACTTAAATGGCTTGCAGTCTATGTGTTTGTAGCGAATGTGTGCAGCAAGGCCTGATGGACTAGGGCAGGTCATGGCACAGAAGGTGCACTTGTAGGCATTTGAATGGTGACACATGTGGTCTCGCAGCAGTCTCTTAGATGCATAAAATTTGGAGCAGTGTGAGCACTGGTACCCTTGCACTGAAACAAGACACACTATCACAGCTTCTTGGGCAGGTGGTAAAGCATCATGGAATTTGGAACTGAATGGACAAACATACAGTTAACTTTGATTTGTTTCATTCTGGTCCATTACAAACCAATCCGTCCAGTGTGACATGTAAGTTTTTACTATATTAAAACTTATCTCCCTTACATGTTTCGGTCTTTATGGGCCATCTTCAGAGGGAACATCATTACAAACTGGAAACTACCATCACAATAGGTGTTTTGATTTAAAATACATACACTTATATCTTATAGTGCACAGTATGCATAAAGTTGAACGTTTCACAATCACGGCAGCTTCCTGGTGTTGTAAAATTTTTAAAAGTTTCTAGATGTTATTTAAAAAACCTTTATTGTCAGTAGTTAAACATTTTTTTTAAACCATGTAGGTTTGTGTCCGTACTCCTGTTGTCGTCCTTGTATAGGGCAGATTTTGTGCCCATACATATATATATATATATATATACGCAGACACTAGGATCACTGAACTAGTACAATACCCATAATATATTTGCAGAACCTCCTCATAAAGATAGACAGGCGGCACAAAATCTGTCCCATACAAGAAGGACGATAGGAGTACGGACATGAACCTATGTGGTTTAAAAAAAATTAACTATTGACAATAAAGGTTTTTTAAATAACATCTAGAAACTTTTAAAAACTTTACAACACCAGGAAGCTGCTGTGATTGTGAAATGTTTGACTTTATGCGTACTGTGCATTATAAGATATAAGTGTATGTATTTTAAATCAAAACACCTATTGTGATGGTAGTTTCCAGTTTGTAATGATGTTCCCTCTGAAGATGGCCCGTAAGGACCGAAACATGTGAGGGAGATAAGTTTTAACGTAGTAAAAACTTGCATGTCACACTGGACGGAGTGGTTTGTATTTATACAGTTAACGATTACTATCTTCTGGAATGTAATACCACACAGTTTCAGCTCCTATCAGTAACAAGGTTTGGAAGTTGATATTGGATTATACTCCAGGGGTGGTCCTTCGTAATTTTTAATTTTTATTTAGTTGGGTAAAAAATAAATTGGTTGGGTGGTGAGGCACTATTCCATCTTTCCTTTTATTCTTGATAGGTTTTCTTTTTTCATTTGATCATACCTGTCTTTTTTGTTTCAATGGATAGTTCTGTTGGTTTATATGCTGTAGAGAAGGATACATTTTGCACTGAATAAAACCTGCCACAATTGCAAATATGGCACCCACTGACAAAACATAATGAAAGATAATATGCTATAAATGTACAGCCTCCATCTTGAGGGTCAAAGAATAAGTCAGGCAAGCAGCAAACAGAATAAGCTGGTTGGTTGGGTAAATTGCTGCTGGTCCTTGGCAGCACAGTCAAACTTGATTTCAGGTCCTGTCAGGACCCATTATATTTTTTGTTCCTTTAACTTTTATGTGTTTTGAAAAGGGGCCTTCTCTTTGACGAGAGGAGGGGTCTGACTACTGCTGGTCACTCCCCTTCTACTGGGGGAATGAATCCTTACTCAACTCTGGCTGAGTGTCAACTTCCGTCATCACTGCTCACTCATTCTCTCATATAGCAAGCCAAACACGGAAAGAGTACATATATAGACCATGGCAGGAACCCACAGTGAACCAACAGAACATGGAGAAGAGTGAATGGATAGAGGTCCTCATATGGGCAACTTTTGCTCAGCAGAGCTGAGAAATAATGGCAAAAGGACCAGTGCGATGTATACATACATCTTGAGAGCAACAGGGGCTGTAGGCAGGGCACAGAGGTGGAAGAAAACCAGAACAAGAATGAAAGCCCTAATGTGAGGGGGAAGGGTGAATGCATGTGGTGAACTGCTACCAGACTACATGGCGTTACATCCCAGAAAAGTATTCTTCATAATCACTGCCACGAGAACCTCAATCCTGCCTACAGCAGAAGATTACCATCTTCTGGGATGCGATGCTGTGCAGTCTGGTACAAAGTTTGGAGGGATAGTTTTCATCTCGAAGATAGATGTAGTATCTTTCTAATGTACTGCATGGTGCCACATCCCTGAAGACATGAATCTTCTCATATACGTGCGAGAGCCTGAAACTGAACACAGTCTGCTCTAAGAGACTGAAACTTTCAATATGAAGTGCATGTATGCCAACAGGTTCAGAACTTACATTCCAAGGGAACCTGACGCTTACAATGATCCACGAACTTTACTTTATTTGCAAAGAGCCCACCACATGTTGGACAGCCCACAAGTTTCTCCTGCGTGTGGCTTCTGACATGTTCTGCTAATTTGTATACTGAGCGGAACACAGACTTGCAACCTGCAACATGAAAAAGTTTACACTTCACTAGTGGATTAATCCACCTGCATACCTGTTCAGTGATGTCTCAATCTGATTGCGAGGTGGGCTATGCCATAGCTGAGGAAGTTAAATGTTGGCTTCTCATCATGGAGCCTGAGGTTCGATCCTGGGTGACATCATGTGAGACTTGTGGTGGATAAAGTGGTATTGAAGCATCTTCATCTCCAATTTTTTCCAATTCCCCCTGCTAATCATCATAGCATCACTGCTCCATTTTCATCTATCACCATCCCCTGACTTGTGTGACAGCCTTAAGCAGGCGGTGCATTATCACATCCTTGGTGTTTGAGTTTGGGCTTCACCTCTGAGCCAGAATTTGACTGCTTGCAGAGTTATGTAGCAGAGAGCAGATAGCTAATCATGTGAGGGTCATTTAATGATGCTGCATGAAGTGGTGAGGTCATTCAGTGTCAAAATGATAAGAGATTTGTTATGCATGTTGAAATTATTATTATTATATTAATTATTGTCTTTTGGTAAGGTTCATTTTCCAATGTACTGTTGTATCAAAGCAAATGCAGACTACCCTCCAAAGGGGATGGTAACTTGCATTTGATTTTAATTATTGTCTAATTCATGATACCTTCCAACATTTTGAGCACCCACATGGAAGGATGGAATAAAACTTCACTCAAGGTAAGCGAAATTAAAAAAAAAAGTTGGATACGTCTACAACATGTACTGATCTACCAATTATAATGAAAATGGAGAGCTTTTCCTCACTATCACAGAAAACTGTTTTTAAATAAACACATTCACACCAAGGTAGATGCATCCCTACCTTCTGTAACAGATGACCACACTTCGCACTTTGACATATTCTTCGATCATTTAAGCATAAATTAATTTACAGATTTGGGGGGGGGGGATAAATCAGGGCATACTGACACTACTTTATATCTAACATCAAAATATGAATTTATGAATGCTTCCGAACCATAACATGTGTAATGTGAGCCTGAGTTACATGTTTGCCACTGCACTAGATGGCGTATACTCTTAATATAATGTGTGGATACCATTAAAGAAATTAACCACATAACTCGGGCAAGATGTTGCTCCAGCTACCAATATTCCATTCTCAATGAATCTTGTAGTCTCAGAGAATGATACCAGCCGTGTACATTCTCAGGGACAAGATGGAGGTAGTGCTTTCTCCAAAATTTGTGCAAAGACCTGCCAGACTACACTGCATCACATCCCAAAGACACTAATCTTCACAGCACTGACATGGGAACCTCAAATGATTATATATATATTGCATTGCTTGTGCTTTTGTTTCTCCTTGTAAGGGGTCTATGAAGACAGAGACAGAATCCAGTGTCCAAAACGTTGTTTTGAAAAATAAACAGGACGGTGTTTTTACATAATGACAGGACGATGCATAATGTCCGGAAACACAACATTGATCCATGTTTTGGTCTTATATGTCAGTATGAGTTTAAAACACAGCCTATACTATGGAAAGAAATCATGACCGGGAAATCAGAACTGACCACGCCAGCTACAGGGCACACCTCCTACCACTTTGTGGCCGTGTGGGTTGTTATGGACGTGTGTCTGCACATGACGGAAGTACATCTGTGAGTTGTTGAATGTTCGCTCACAATCATCCCAGCTGCAGGTAAATGCATGTGGCAAATTTGGTACCAGGTTTTTCCCAACTGGGCTGAATGTGCAACCCTGTAACAAATGGATCACTTGCTGTAATCATACATTTTCCTATACAATTAAAGAAAGTAATTCAAGAAAGTAACTAAAGGAATTCATAAACATTTACATAAGAATCCTATTCTGTCACTAGGGACATAATGATCAATCAGTAATTCATTAAGAAACAGCTACAAAGAATTGTGTGATGTATTTTCTCATCAGGAACCTGATGATACACAGGGTGCAAGGTTCAATCTCATGTCAGGTGTCAATTTAAAATTCTCTGTGCACAGATCAAAGCCAAACTTCGAAGTCTGGGGTGTGGCATACATGCCAGTTCATAGGCTGTCCTAAGATGTCTGTCTGCCTTGTGGTCCATCACAGAGGCAGGAAAGATTCTGTCTTATTGGTGCAGAATACATTAAGGTGAACAAATCCATAACTGGAGCATTTGTCACAGATAAATAAATTAACATTATATTGTACTTAAGCATGCTGTTGCATTAATATATCATTTATTTCATACAATATATTTCTGTCTACAATGCAAATTTTATTGTCCCCCTATTGTGAGAAGGAAGGGGGACAATAAAATTTGCATTGTAGATGGAAATATATTGTATGAAATAAATGAACATTATCTGTACACAGGTTCAGTACAGTGTTCATGAAAATCTTTCTTTATATGAGGCACAGCCAATATTCCCATAAACGAACAGAAGCTAAAACTTCTAAACATGAAAATGCTAGTGACTTACCAGTAGCTCTGACTGAGCCACTATGTTTGATCCAATGCACTTTATTTTGGTGTGATATGAGTGGAAGTTGACATGTCTCACAATCTCATTGGAATCGAAAGATTCAAACCCACATGACTCCCACAAACAAGCGTAAACACCTGCAAGACATATATCATCTGCTTTCACATTTTTCAAATTATGTAAACTAATTACTGCAGTCATTACACGCTGCATGACTGTTTTATTCTTTCTAAGGCCTCTTTGATGTTCAGAAGATCACTGCTTTTGTGGCAACAGTGCTACATTAACCGAAGTGGTGCCAAAAAATTATATATAGAAAAGAAGGTAAATATACCAGCTCCATGGAATGGAATGAAACTCATCCAAGTCATAACACACCTAAGTTTGTGTAGAAAAAGATTTATTCAGTTTAGCTGGTTCATTGCAGACATATATTTTCCATTTTGAATGTTAAAAACAAGTATTTTATTTATAATTTATTCACTTTTATCAGAATTAACATTTTACAGGATCCCCATTTTCTAAGATTATGGCTTGAAGGACCATCGTTTACATTGGTTGATGGCTTAGCAATGTTTTCTTGTGATACAAGAGGCCATGCATTTTTATTTCTTTGTTGCAGTAACTCCAGGGACTGACAACGTTCTTTCAGGGTTTGTATATTAACTGCTGAAGTTCATTCCAAACACAGCAATCTGACATGTTAAAACTTGGCGGTGAATCTGTGGACTTGAAAAATTCAAATACAGTATCATCACACGCTTTCAGAGCGCAGGTAACATGACTATATAAAAATTCACATTTTTAACATTCAAAATGGAAAATACTCTTCAGTAAAATGAACGAACCAAACTGAAGGACTCCTCCAAAGCATACTTAGGTATGTTTTACACAACTTACATGAATTTCATTCAAACCTGTAGCAATATTCATTTGTACTATTTCTTTTTTCTCTTTTTTTTTTTTTTTTTGCATCAACTGATACCGCAGGATGATGCAGGTTCATCATCATCATCACCACCACCACCATTGGCAAAACAGCCACAGCCAACCTCAGAAGATTCTGCCAGAATACATCTGGTTTTCATTTTAAATTTCGCAATAAAAAATGTTATTTACAGAGCAAGGTCATCAAATCTTGCATCCAACTTCCAACCTGGAGACCCAGATCCCTGTATTTATATCCTCTAGTGACAGGGTAACCCAATTACACCCCCAGGCATTGGGTTCCCTTTTTGTCATCTTCTATGACTTGCAAGGCTATAGTTGAGATATTCCAACCCACCTCCACATGCAGAAGATACATTAAACACACGTTAAATGCACAGCCAATAAGCTATCATGTTCTAAAACTCACTTTCTAATCTTAGTATTGATCTGAAGAGAGATAGTTTGATGTAAACAAACAGAAAATAAATAACTTATCAATGCAATTAATTACAGAGATATTATCCCTTTATACAAAGGGAAGACCTTTAATAGCCAACTTCAGTGAGCATGCTGTGGGATAGGAAACATCAAATAGGCAAATGATATGCAGTAGAACCACAGAAGCCGAGAAGGTCCAACACAACCCCTGAATATGTTGGTTAAAGGGGATCTGGTTAATTTGCGGCAGGCCTAAGAAGCGGACAGTGGATACTAATAATGTTCTGGAAGTAACAAACCACCTCAAAAAGGTTGGAGTTACAGGACGATGTCATGGTCAAATGCAAGGACTGTAATTCTGAACATTAGATGCTATCACATTAAAACTGGATGAGTGGAAGAAAAATGGGACAGAAAACTGGGCATTTTTGGACAAAATAGTTATAAAAGGGAAAAACCGGCTCTGGTAAGGTTATGAGAGAACAGGGTCAGGAGAATTATGAAAAAAAATATAGTGCATGTCTTAAGCCCAGCATATACGAGATACTCCGCTTGCTTAGCTTACCATTCAACCTTGAAGATGGAGGCATAAGTTCCTCCGAAACATCAGTAATGAGTACACTTCTAAGGAGTAAATCCCAGAAGATAGTACACCCTTTACAGTCACTGCCATGGGATCCTGAAATCTAATTGAACTGCAACTAAATACAAGTTGACACATGAACAGAAACAAACTGGCATACCAGACACAAAATATGAATGAAACATTACCATGCTCCCCATTAAAATTGTGTCTGCAACCTATATGCTAACATATATGCTAGGCACTGTGTCCTGGCATGTAACACAAGAATATGGATGTTGGCTGACTAAAGCAGAGAATGAACACAAACACTTGGTGCGCTTCTACTTACTAACTGATTATATAAACTGCTTAAAGGATATCCTCTAAGCTCTTTGGCAGTGGTTATTTTGTATAAAACACTACACAAATGTAACCACTACATGACCAAAAAGTAATTTGCAACAGGAAGCCTTATCAGCTGTTATTCTGGTAATGTCCAGGACAGCTTCAGTAAGGTTCTTAATGCCAATTCTGTTATTTTCTGTTTTACCCTGTTATTCTCAAAACAAATCCATTTGAGATATGTTATCAGTGAACCAGAGTTGACAAACACTGGATACCAAAGTTTATTCTCAGCAGAAACCAATGTATTACAGATAAGAATAGGATTTTGAAGAGATTAACAAGATGATGACTGGAAAAACGGCACTCTCGTGTAACCAGGTAACCAGAAACCTAGGAAGCACAACACTATTAGTACCTTCATGATTCTGATTCTCTTTGACCTCAAGGTGTGGAATGTGGAGGCTGACATGGACCACAAAGTGATCAAGATTAGTGCTTCGATAGTTGCAGTCCAGCCACCCACACTGAAGATCCAGCTGCTTGTAATTAGGCTTGTGTATCTTGTTCCTTCGCTTCTTTTCATAAGTAAATGACTGATCCTCATCTGTCTCATCAGTCTCATCTGGGGAGTCACATTCCTCTTCATACCCTGGCACTTCCTTCAGTTCTGGCTTGCACTCCGTATCCTTTTGTGCAGCAGGTGACTGACTTCTGTCCATGTCATAAATCTCATATGGGGAATCACATTCTTCCCTTTGTAATGTCACCTCTGGCTTGTGGTCCACATTCTTCAGTTGCATGTGAGAAGACAGACTGTCCAACCAGTCACCAGAGATTTCAGGAACATCAGACACTGCGAAGTTATGATGTGTGATTCTGGTCAATTCATTCAGTGGGTTGAACATGCTGATCTCCTGCTCGAACTGCAAACCTGGAATACATGTTCCAGTTTCTATCATTAAAATGATGCCAACTCATCACAGTTCAAATCATATTAAAAGAGAAGGGCTTGATTTAAAACTTTTTTATATATAGCACATGAAAGTCATGTGCCAGAGAAAAGGAGGAATATTAGAAGATTTATTCCACCTTACTGTTCTCATTTGAGTGAAGTTATTTTAAGACTTGGAGCTCCATGTACCCAAGAACACAATTATATCATCACATCCAAAACTGGAAAAAGATAAAAAAAAAAAATACAAAAATTCTTCTAAATAAACATTTGATATGGAAGTGATGATGGATGCACTATGGTAGACATGAAGTCATGATGATGACTATGAAGAGCGATACATTCTGGGATGTTATGCTGTATGGTCTGATATTTTACCAACATTTCAGAGGAACTATTCTTGACAGATCCATCCATTGGTACAATTACTACAACCTGCAATCAGTGCAGGTCTGTATGGACTTCAGTTATTCTGGACCTTTTGCCAAAGAAAATTAATATTTTATCAATAAACATGTAATACATAAATACTATTTCATTACAGTGTGTCAATGTAAAGTCTTGTCTTCCACAATATAATACCATATAGCTCCGTGAAAGTTAACCTGACGTTTCGGTAGAATACTTCACCTCCTTCTTCTGGGCTGATGAGATATTGAAGCAAGAAACCAGCACTGAGCAGGCAGAAGGCAGAACCTCAGGTTACTTGCTTAATTTACTCTTCAGTACGTTCCTTCAAAACGTTAGTGAACATACGACATTACACCTCAGAAGACAGTTCTCTTCATTGTTACAGCAATAATAATTAAAACTGCAACATCTTGATACCTGCCGAATTTCCTTAAATAGCAGGTTCAACACCACTTGCTAGTATATAATCTAATCCTACACATGCCAATACGTCTCTACAGCATCTTCAGTTTCAGTTTCAGTTTACTGTAATATTCCATCAATCAAGAACAGGCTACAAATGTCACCAGTCTGATATAGAACCAGTCACAGATATACAATACACCAAATACTCAAAGAATATATTACGCATGCTTTGAATATTAAAGTGTCAGTCATACAATTACACACCTCAACATAATACATTGTGAATTGGAAAATAAATCAGTCACTAAATACTAATGTATATGATTAGCATAAAAGTAAATTAAGAGGCAGCAAGAGCCCTATAAAACATTTTACATTTAGTTACATTGATTACTGGTCCTTTCTAATTAGTTTAATAAAAACCTAAAATTTAAAATAAAAGTAAGAAAGAGCAAAATAGAATTACAATGACTGTGATAAGTATATACTATCACAAATACCAAAGGGAATAGAATATCCCATTTTATTTATTGTTAAAAAACTCCTGCAAAAAAGTATTGTGCAAGGTCTATTAGTCTAGGTCTAATTTTGTCAATTTTATTAATGAAGTGAACCAGAATTAGAATTTTGATATTTATTGTATCCAATGTAAATTTGTTTATGTATGTCTGCTTTATGCTTTATAATTGTTTGCATGTATGTTTGTTTTGTTTTTGACATGTTTCAATTAATTATTGTAACTTANGAAAATAAATCAGTCACTAAATACTAATGTATATGATTAGCATAAAAGTAAATTAAGAGGCAGCAAGAGCCCTATAAAACATTTTACATTTAGTTACATTGATTACTGGTCCTTTCTAATTAGTTTAATAAAAACCTAAAATTTAAAATAAAAGTAAGAAAGAGCAAAATAGAATTACAATGACTGTGATAAGTATATACTATCACAAATACCAAAGGGAATAGAATATCCCATTTTATTTATTGTTAAAAAACTCCTGCAAAAAAGTATTGTGCAAGGTCTATTAGTCTAGGTCTAATTTTGTCAATTTTATTAATGAAGTGAACCAGAATTAGAATTTTGATATTTATTGTATCCAATGTAAATTTGTTTATGTATGTCTGCTTTATGCTTTATAATTGTTTGCATGTATGTTTGTTTTGTTTTTGACATGTTTCAATTAATTATTGTAACTTAAATTTTGATCTTGTGACTCATTCTATATCCTATGGCTTGTATTATGCCTGTATCAGGATCAATTAGAAAGTGAAATAAATGAATGAATGAATGAATGAACTAATCGTTACTAATCATATCATACTAATCTTTTTTAAAGAGCTGAAACAATTATCTAATAACCAGAAATCCTTTGAACGTTCCCTAAAAAGATTTTTACATGCTAACTCTTTTTATGCATTAAATGAGTATTTTAATTACAAAGGCACATAAATTTGAATGCTTAATGCCACATTTTAATATAGTTGGTAAGGGAGATGTGAGGAGCTGTATTGTGGTTACTTGTGACTTATGTCTGTTTAATCTTTTTGCCTTGTATTGTTGTATGTGCTGGATAATTAATGTGGGTGATCTTCGCGGTGTGACTTTGTGTATGTGTTTGATGACTAATTCCACATCCTGGGTTTGTTCCCTGTATGGATGTTATGGAAAGTGGAGGATGTGTATGTATGTATATGATGAGTCCTGTATCAATGTATTTTGATTTATGGGAAAATTGTATTAATTTTAAGTTTTTATAGTAATGCACTTTTTAAATCATGTTTAGTTACAATTGTAATAAGCTCTTGTTTTGTTTTTTTTTATATTGCCTATGTTAGTTAACTGGTGTGTTATTTTAGTTGTGTGACTTATGTAATCTATTACATGTATACATCTATAATCAAATGGACTATTTCCACATCCTAGGATTTTTGCCTGTATGGATATATTGAAAATAGAGGAAATGAATGAATGAATGAATATGCCTTAACTTCCTCATACCCGCTCATATCCCTCATACCTTTTCCTCTTTTCAATATACTAAACACCCTACAGACGGATCCTCGAAAGACGATGATTTCTTCTGGGACGTGACATAGTGTGGACTGGTAGACAAGTTCCAATTTTAAACTTATTTCACCCAGCCGATGGTACTCACTAAAAAGTATCTTATATCTTCAACTGTGGAAAGATTTTGTCGAGGTAACCATGCAAACCCAAAAGCTCGTTACTTGGTCACCTTATTCTAGTGGAAATTAGCAACTATACTATACTATACTATACTATAACTTCCCGCCCAGATTAACTGCAGTATCAAGGTATTCTGCTTGTCGATGTAATTTGTTTTATATGATCCGTGTGTATGAATTCCGTGAAATTAGTGACCCATGCCGAGAGAGTTTTGTGGTATTCTCTAATAATAGCTTTAGTTTTAGGCGCAAGTTGTTTATAGCTAATGAAGCCGTTTTATATTTCGGGAAAACGCACTTCATTGAGTTGTAATCAATAGTAAAATTAAAATTAATTCGAGAAAAATTGTAGTCTAATCCCTGATTATAGCCAAGCCTGTGGTCCTCGTAGTCGGCTAGTAGAATCGATACAACTTCGCAAAGTTCGCAAACAGTCGCGTCAGTCGTTTGGGTCGTTTGCTAACAGTTGGTAAACCTAGTTGAAAGGAAGATATGTAGTTGAAATATATTCGAACCAGCTGTTATTGTTGTAAAGAAAATGGGCTATATTTAATGGATTGCACTTGTAATTTATGTCAATAATTGGTATTTATATTCTTAATTGAATACTTTGTTGTGTTTTAACGACAGCACCGTCTTTTACTTCTACTTTATTTGTGAAATATTCTGAATTCGTTCCAGGTCAGTCTTAATGTGTATAGTCAGTTGGAAGTGCTGTCAAGTGTCATGCATGAAGCAAGTCGTCGTATTGTATTTGCAGAAATTGAACAGAATAGCACTTTTCCTTAGTCGTCGAGGAAAACGATTGTAAAGTGGTACAGCACTAGTGTGAAATGGGTGTGTCCCTGTATTAATTTTTGTTGATGCTGATGTAGGTAACAATGTCGAGTCCTCCAGACAGTGATCCGTCTACCCGACCAGAAACCCTGAAAAAGTTGGCCCAGCTTCAGATTGATCGTCTCAAAGAGGTATATAAAGTTTTGTAAGCCACATTTGCTGAAGTTTTTCAAAAGAAGCCTTGGCATAGAGAAAGAGATAGACTAGAATACCAAATACTAAATTCTAAAATAATTATGAATGAAATAGATTATAGCAATATAATTACCCAAACAAAACCTAGATGATTCAGTACTTGTGGAACTCCTCTAACTTCATGCATGCTTCTTTGCCTTATAATTTAATGTGTGATAACATTCAGGGAATGTTTGCTACAATTTGTAGTTTAAAAGTAGAAAGATCGAAATATACAAAAGTATAATTTTTCTTGTTCATTTATATGAATTATAGTACTGATAAAAATAATTTTGCAGAGATAGCACAGTCAGTGTAGCGACTACAGGCTGGACAATTGAGGGGTTGGAGTTTGAATCCCAGTAGGGGCAAACTCTTTTCTTCACAGCATCCAGACTGGCTCTGGGGCCCACTGAGCCTCCTATCCAGTGGGTACCAGTGATAAAGCAGCCAGGGCATTAAGCTGACCACTGAAAGAATAGAATTTTCTGTGTATTACAGGAAGAAGAAGAGCAGTGGATCTCAGGTGAAGAGTTGTATACAGAGGGAAGCAGTGAAGATGATAATGATAATACAGCCACAAGGAGCAAACGGCAAACTGGTGGCAGAGCACGGAAACATAGGCGAGTGGCACCAGGGAAGGATACAAGGTCCAAGCAAGGATGCTATAAGTCAAACGTTACACCATCAACGGTGGGTAGCAGTGGACAGCTGAGTGTAATTCCACCAGAGGTGCAATTGGAATCTCTAACATTAGCAGCTGAGGAAACTCACGAATCTCAGCCACAAGAGGGGAACGTGCCCATGACAAACTTTGATGAACAGATCGAACAGATCAAGATATCGTGGAGACCTAAACGAGGCAGCATCAAACTGCCCAACCTAAGCCCAGAAGGTAGAACTGAGATGCTGACTGGCACAGATGTAGCCACTCACTGAGTTGAAGCTTTGTAGCGACCGTCAGTTATTTGACTGCCTTAGACATTAGAGTCTTAGCCAATTCAGGTCACTCGATCGTCAAGTTCAGAGTGGATAGAAGTATGCTGTATCAACAGAACAGTTTATTTCATATGGTCATGGACAGTGATTCAGTATTGCTATGGGTAGAAACAGCCCTTGCCACGTTTTGGATGAAAGGATGTAGGAGAACCGCGAAAACTCCAGTTAGGATATGCTGACTGAATTGTTCACTGTCAGCGTGCCAAATATCAATTAACCAAGGTTCAGTCAAACCTCATTTTAGTATTCCTGAATTTAAGGTTTTATGTCATTTAACAATGAGTTTTGCTGACCCCAGGTCAATAATCTCTTGTTAAATTACCCTTCCCTTCCACTCCCCTCCAGCTGAAGATTTTCCTCAGTTTAGTATTCAAATCCATTGCCCCCAAAGGATACCTTCCATGGAGGTTTTACTGTGGATGTAATGGTAACAACTTATGGTGTCAGCTTTCAATGCTTCTGTTTATATAGAGGCCTGCAGATCTGGAGAAACAATTAATTGCCCTACATTTAGCAAGATTCTACAGATATCTAATATCTGAAGGTATTCAGACTTAACTTCAAAGTTAAATTCTGTCTTGTGGGATGTAACGCTGTGTACTTTGATAAATAGGTACCAGAATTGCAGAGACTTGCTGCCGTCACATGGTAGAAGAGTGGGATGTATGTAGGAAAGGTATTACTGGTGCCAGGGCTATGAATACCAATTTAGGGACAAATGTTCATAACATTATTCTTGTATTGTCTTGCTTATGGTTGAGGTCCTGCCCTGCCCTGCCCTGCTTTTCCCCATATCTGTACCACTTCTTGGCATGCTTGTGTTACTTTTCTACCATGAAGATGGAGGCAGCAGGTTCTTTCTAAGCATTGTTAATGATCTGCCACAGTACATGGCATCACAGCTAAGGAGACAGTAATATTCGAGCGTGTTGTGGATTATCCCGTGAGCTCTCTGAACCTTAAAGGCCTTGTAATGTCAGGTGAATTTGCTGGTGACTATATGTGTCAAAGGGAAGCCTCCTGTCATGTGGTGTCATTTGGAGGTGGATGAAGATGGACAGTCAAGTAACTGGCGGCTGTAAAGCTGTACCATGAACAAGTGCCGCGTACTTAATCACATTCCCTTCTGTAGTGGGTAGCTACTTCCTGGTCTTACATAGGTTATGTGATGGATGCATAAGCTGGCATTCTCTCTAGCAGTTCATGACCAGGAAGATATACTAACAAAAACCTGACATGTTTTTCAAAGAAAATATTTATGTCATGGTCTGATTGTTTTATTTTGTATATATTATTAAACATAAATCTCATCTGTGTGTGTGCATTATACTCAGGATAAGTGGATGTAACATTATAAGGGGATAATTGAAAAGTATCAAGGCAAGATCTCTTGTCTCATAATAATTTTATCTTAGAGTCTGTCAGACATGTACTGTGGGTGTACTTCTCCACATGCTGTTGAGTCTGTCCCAACTTTTCATTGTAACCCACATAGAAGTGTGCATTTTAAATTGGTTTGTTTACATTTGCCAAGGCATTCTTTGAAAGTTTGTACAGATGAGTGTTTTGTTGGGACTGTACATAAAATGAAATCATACTGGTGTCTAGCAGGTTACAGATTTGGCAGGGGGACCCAGATAGTATTTTCCTTTGAAACAGTTGCAGTCTTGATCCAGTATTTGACGGTGTGCAGTGTTACCATGATCTGGGGTAATCTTGCCGTTGCTTGCCAGTTTGGGAACAACAGGAATTGTCTTATTTTCTCATCACACTGCATATCAGTTATTGGCAGCACACAAGTTGTTATGTTAGTACCCAGGGGTGCATTAGTAACAAGGCAGTGAGGTGCAGAAAGTCTTTGTGCCTAAGTCATGTTGCTCAAGTCTGGCCTCTTTAAGTCCGAGTGTGCCTTTACAAGGGTCGGACAACTGGACCGCCTTGGTGGAGTCTGTGTAGAGGGTATGTTTGAAAATACAGTCTGTAAAATATTTTTATAGATGTGTACCTGTGTCTGGACAATTGTTGTATGAACAGAGATAATCATATTATGTTGAAGTGTTGGCAGCACTGTGTCATTAATATAGCTAGTACTATAAAAGATAAGAGATGTGGATTGTATAATAGGGAAAGCAGTGTGATTATCAATTGGGAACAGGCAGCTCATTTATACTCCAGTGTCCCTTGGCACTGGAGGTTGAAGGTACATGGTGGATAGACAGACAGCTGCTGACCAAAAGAACATTACATACTTTTTGTGTAATTGTGATTCTGCTAGTTGTATTCACAAAGACCTTCCCCGTGAAGACCATAGCATTATGTGGCACAGCTCCTTGGATTCATATTAACCTCTCATGTCATGAGGCCATATAGACCTGGTCACCAAGTCTGTAATGCAGTTTTCTTTACAATTCTACACAGCATTCATGCCGTATGTAGTCACAAACACTTGGTCTGCCTATTGACAAGTGACTGAACTAATTATCTGTTGTATTCAACAGGCTTTCTTTCACAGTGCCACCATTTTTAGTTCATCGAAACACTTGATGGAAATATTTTTTGTTTTCTTAAGACATGTCATTCAGTGGTCTACCAAAATGGCTGGTGTGTCAAACCAAGCATATGTGAGACAGATCTGCTGAGAAATTCAGCAACATTTAATATTCCCCATATTCTGACATGCACGTGAACTTTGGTGGCTACTGGCACACTGGTTCTGCTGATACTGCAAATTATATATAAATATGTAATTGACATCATGGTACAAGGGACTGCTTCTGGATATATAGACCAGTGAATGGCTTGAGGGGTTAACATTTTAGCCAAATTCTTTGTACCCAACAACCGATGCAGTCTCATTACTAGTGTGCATGCATCGCAGTGTGTTAGTCTTGCATGGTGCTTTCAGAGGTGCACAATGCCTCGTTAAGCAGGACAAGCGACCTGTTATAGTGAGAAGCTTGGTCTTTTTGAAGAGTGTGTAGTGAACTTCTCAATGCCAGCCGGTGCCTGTGTTATAGATATTTTAAAACTTGTATATGTTCATTATACACATAATAAATTTATATATTCAAATAGCCTTATCTTCCCTCTATCCAGTTGATATTCCTGCAGATATGGTGAGTTCTGGAGATGAAGGAAAACAGATTACTGATGGCAAAGCTGTGAATGATGCTGGACCATCTGTGAAAAAGAAACTGTACTTCATACAGAAGAACATCAATTAAGAATCCTCTTTTGTGACTAAAATAAGCACATGGGTTCTCAAGGCAGTGACTATGAATATTACAGTCTTCTTGGATGTGACACCATACAGCTGTTTTATTCTGAAGATGGAGGCAGCAGATTCCTCATAAACATTAGTACCTATATACTAAACAACATGACATCACATTCCAGGAAACTGTAAACTTGATGCTCACTGCCACAAGGACCTCAGATATGAAAAATTATTAAATATAAACCTGGCACCAATAATTTGGATGCCAGTGGTTGTGAGCACGACAAATGACACCTCACATGGGATATGTGGGAGGTGTGGAGCAGAGGACACATATGCGATGGATGTTTATTAACATTACTTATATTTCCATACACTCTCAGTATTACAGTTCTGCTGGTAACATTACAACCATACTTGCTTATCAGGAGGTAACAAATTTAAGTGTACATAAGTTTGAAGCGAGCAGCTGTAGGCCTGTCTGACACACAATATGAAACTGGCACATGATTACATGTGGCATCACTCTAAGAGGTCCCTCTGGTAAGTGCTCAGTTTCTGCCTTCAGAAAGTGACTGCCCCTACCCTGCAAAGTGCACGCATTTTGTGTTACAAAACTGTGATAAGACTGCAGTTAGAGAGCCAAGGTAATTCACCGTAATGGCCAGGCTGTAGATCGGAGAATCAGGGTTAAATTCCTGCTGAAAGTAAATACTATCTCTTAGCCACCACATGCAGACCAACACAGGCCCAGCCAGCCTTCTGTCCAATGGATATTGGGGGCTCTTTCCCTGAAGGAAAAGCGGCCGTCTCATGAAGCTGATCACTCATTTCCATCTGATGCTGAGGAAGAGAATGCTTGAAACTGTACCTCCACTTATCCATATGTCTTCATGGCCTGATCCGTAATTAATGAAGCACAGGGGTGTGGAACTGTATAATTTGGTAGATAAGTAACAACATCTCAGAAGAATCTACTACCTCTGTCTTCAGGGTAAGAGTTGGAGGCAGCAGATTTCAACAAAACATTGGTGTCAGTGCACCAAACTACAAAGCATCTCACCCCAGAATACCTTATTTATAAGATGGAGAGAGGTGTTTCCTCCAAAGCACTGGTACCTATCTACCAGGTTACACGACATCACATCCAGCAAGATCATAATCTCGATAATCGCCACTGAAAACCTCAAATGTCACAAAACAGTTGCACTTTGCTGTTAGAGGAGGCAAACTGATAGCTGTATGATAGTTATCTCTATTGATGAGGGAATGTATTGTGACACATTTATATGATCTACACTAATTCTACAGCAGCGGTGGGCAATTGTTGTTATTCTCAAGTATAAAAAGATCACTGACATGCTCTCAGTGGGGCCCACCCCTTGTACAGGTATGTATAAAGGCAAGTAATAGTGCCCAGACCAGAAGCACTGTTATGTTGGCCTAGGCAATCTCTACATTGTACACAACGTGAAAGACTCTCCTAACCTCACAATTAACATGCATACTGGGCATGGCAGTTTGCTTGTTCATCTTTAGACTCAGTTCCACATCATATACAAGAAACATACATCGCTGCCTTCAAGGGCTGCAGCAGATCTTGTGTGTCATTGCACTGAGTCTGGGTCAGCTGATGTCTGTTGTTTCCTAGATGAAACTCATTGTTACTACCAAGGCATGTGAGGTTACAATGGTTCAATCTGCCATACTCTAATGATTAAAGAAATGAGATATGTGCAATGAATGTCAAAACTGCACAAGAAAAGATTTTTTTGTGTGTTAAGAGACATTCCTGCGCTGCATTTTGCACGTAGCTAAGTTATTAATATATTATAGTTACATTTAAATTGCTTACATATGAAAACAGTAGTCACTATAGTGACTGTGCTACAGGCTGGAAGACTCAGAAATCAATTCCTGGCAGGAGCAAGAGATTGTTTCTATTCTCAGGACTGTTGAGAGTGACTATGGGGTCCACCCTGCCTCGTATCCAATGCATACGAGGGGCTCTTTTTCCAGGGGTAAAGTGACCACACGAACTGCATCTAGTGTCTACGTTAATAGTGCATACAGGTATACCTCCATTCTCATGTTTTCATATGATGGTGCTTAAGTGCACGGACAATTTTACCTTTCGTGAACATTCTTTTTCATCAGCTTTATATTACTTACTGCACTAGTGCACCATCCTGATTATTATATGAATCAACTTTTGCCAAGTAGCAGAACATCAGTGGGCATAGGTCACTTCTGCCCTATAAACCCTGTTATGATCACCTAACAGCTAGACCAGGGATGGAGAGAAACGAACACACCATATGAAGTGATTTTCAACATAAAATTAAATAAAAATGCCTGAATATAATTTTTGTATGGGCTGAAATATACAGTATGCTGCATGAAACACTTCCTTCCTCATGTGTGGGAAGGCTTTGCCCCACACAGTGGTTTAAGGTTTATCTTATATAAACAATCATGGTCAATCATGTACACTTATTTCACCATAATCTACTTTCGTACTGAGTTGTGTCTATTGGGATGCCTAGAAAAACCTTTGTAACATCACAAAACTGACTGTAGAAGAGATGACAAGAATGATGCTGCCAAGTCCAGTCTGCTTAGGATTCTGGGAAATACAGCAGCAACAGACAACACTTCCTTATGATGAGAAGGCACGGCTGAGAGAAGAGAGAACAGACCCTACAGTAGTACCCACCCTGAATATTGTCACAGTATCGCTAGGGACAAGCCCTCTTGTTGAAAGCTGTATTCATTCTGAGTTAACATAAATACACATCTTTCATTGTGGCAAGTCTCCAGATATTCAGAAACAGAATTTAGTATTCTACAGTATCAAACAGAAGTGATTAAATCTCAATTCCAATGACTGCAGACACCAGCACTGAGACTGACAACAGAAATCTTTCATAACATCTGACATTCCAGACAAATATTCTCCTAAGACCCAAAATTCATATTAATTATATCTGAAGCTTCTGTTGCCACATACCCCACAGCTATTGAAATCAAAGAGACAGGCATTCTGACAGAATTTGAATCAAATGGAAAAAGTGTATGGTAATTTAATTTACAAATGCTTAAATATCAAACTCAAATCTGCCATATTATGTTTAAAACAAGGGTATCATACAATTCTGGAAGGCCAAATGTGTGTTTACAACATGCAAATACAGCATGTACAATTTAAAACACAACTCAAACTACATCAGTATATGCAAGCTTGTAGGTGACATCAGTAGGTTTTCTTATTTGGTACTTTGTTCACAACTGTAGCAATGTACAACTGGTGACCCAGGGTGACTGAGTTGCATGTCATGAGGATAACTGGGAGAGTCAGTTGCATGGGGGGAATGGCTTATGATTATTGTTTGGATTGCATTTTAAATGGTGAAGTGTGTACAGCTTTGGAATTTAATAAACAAATACTTTCATAAATATAAGGGAACAAATTAGATGAAAAAATGTACATGAATAAGAAATATCTACAAGTAACAGTAAAGCTATCCCTGTAACAGGCCGTGGAGGCCCACAGGGTTGTGAGATGTTGAGGTTCCCACATTTTCCAGACAATCGGCTCATAGAGGGCGGTAAGGTTGTCAGCCCTATGTGCCGGCCACCCTTTTCCCCCCGAGAATATTCCTGGTACTCATTTCTGTTAGAGGCTGAGTCAACCCCAGGGCCATAGTGTGGCTGGAAGGATTAGGTAAATTGAAAAAAAAAAAACCAATGACGTCATCAGGACTCGATCCCGCAACATAGTGCCTCAACCAACTATGCTACCGCGTGCCCCCAAAGAAATAGCTGATGAATATGAAATTATATGAAACTTCTGAGAAGTATTGAGGAAAAAAAAAAGGATAATAAATCAAATTTTTACAGAATGAACTAGAGTTCAGAACTTAAAAGAGTGAGAAGAAAAATGATTACAATATTTTGAAAATGCAAATATACGTGGGATAACTCAGAAAAGATGGTTCAGCCAGGTATTGCAAGACAGGAAGAGGAGAGGAAAGAAGTGGCAAGAAATTGAAAAGGTAGGGTTATGGGAAGAAGACTGGAGAGAATTTTCATTCATGGGCCTGCAGAAAATGGAAATGGCGCTAGCAGAAGTACAAATATTTGAGCAAGTAATACCCTAAATTATTTAGTCAACTAATTATCATTTTATATGACATCAAGCATACTGATCTATGATATTAAAGAACAAGTTTTCATTTCAGAGCAACCTTACAAAAAAAATCTATGTATCAGAAGAAACAATGGAGCATGACCCCATGTTATGGAATATGTGTCTGTATTGTAAAATTCCATAATATGAATCCTATTTTTCCATTAACTCCCATGTTATAAATGGAGAAGCATTCATATGGAAATTTTTCAGTCCACAGTTATAAAAAAACGTACTTATTTACCCATCACAAACAACAGAAGGTTGTGTTGTGTTCCTTTAGCTGTGCTGCTTGCATTTGAACTCAAGGGCCACTTCCCACACATCTTAAATAAGGGTAATACATTGCAAAATATGAAGAAAGAGATGGGAATAGCAGCCATGCTACCAGACAATCCTCTACATCACTGATGCATGTACACAGGCCAACCAGTGGCTCTCTCTATATCCTGCTGTGTCACCAATGCACACACGTATGCAATCTGAATTCCCTAAAAAATAATTTCAGCTTAATCTGTTGTTGTCTTGCATTATGTGTTTAAACAAATTTAATATTTGTCCAAAATTTCTATAATGGTCCATCTTGTGAATTTTATGGTCACATTCTATGATTCTTGTGAGGGCCAAATTCCACAACCAGAATATCTGTAATGTGGGGGTGCACTGTACTATTTTGTACATGTCACTTGTTTGAGCTGTCCAGTTTCTGCCACAGTGTCATATGTGTTCGACGAGGATCCCAAGGGAACAAGACTGAAGCCAGAATCCATCTCCAAGAAATATTCTCTCAGATAACTGAACGTAGTAACATAGAAATCATGAGGTGGAAAGCCCTCAGGAATGGAGAATACTGTTCTTCCTATGACATGGAAACCAAACCTTTATGTTCAGCTTCTAAGATAAATTACATAGATGGTTGGTGTAAATTGAAGGAATGATAAAAATATAGGTACTATACATCATGAGCTGCTGTTAAGAGTATACACAGAACTCAAGAACCCCAGTCTATGTGGTGGTGAGCTAAAAGATAGCATGATGCAGAATGTACACTGTACAATAGATCTGTACTATACAAAATATTATGAGCATGCTGTCGCACAGGACTGAGTGATCATTGTCAAGCACCTCTCCACAAGAAACAGAGAAATTTCTGAATATATTGGAAGTGTAATTTTTCTCATCGAAAGGCACAAGTCTAAGGTTCTTGTAATATGCTACTGCAGAACTTTTGAAGGAGTTTACTCAAGCAGTGAATTCCTAGGTGAGCAGACATGTGAGGATGGAGACCAATATTAACTCCATCTTCACACAACTTATCATCCTAGAATACTTCCTTGCATATAGCCACTGTGGAAGCTTCATATCTCATAGAGCTTGCTCAACATAACTTGCTCCTTGGCTTGACTTGGTGATGTTCACTCACTGCGTGGCTCAGCAGCCTGGCTGTGATATTTTTTAAGCGTTTGATTCTTTGAGGTCCTGAAGCTGAGCCAGCTGGTGAGGTTCAAGTTCATCAGGGATGCTATCCTCACCCACTGCATTGCTTGCAACTGTTTTCGGATGCTCTGCAGGCTGACTCTGTGAATTCTCGGCTGTGCTGGGCCCTGTGTATGTGTCCTCTTCACTTCCAGTGCTGCTGCTGATTGGGAAGGGAGCTGAGTCTGTTGGATCATCTGGTTCTTCAATGACCTCAGCCACTGTCGGATCTTCAGACAATGATGGCTCCTCTACTGAGGGCTGGTCAACCTCCTCTGCATCCTCCGATGCGTTTACTTCTTCTTCTGTGGGTGGAGGAGGGAATGGCTGTTCTGGTTCTTCCATCACCGGGGTTGCAGCAGTAATGACAATTTGAGCTACCCCTAGATTGAAACTGTCATCTTGGAGGGTTGGCGGTTCAGCTCTGTCACCGTCGCTGTCAACTTCTGATTGTGCTGTCACTTCAACCTGTGGCAAGACCTGTAACAGTTGATCTCTTCAGAAATCCTGTTGATTAAATATAATGTTCAGTTCAGAATAACTGACAGCTGAAGGGGACCTGGCACAAGGAACATTGGTATGTTGCAGATCGAGGGGTTCATTTATAAACAATAGAGATACTATGACAATGATGTTCTGCCTGTTATTCTGAATTAATGCCAGTGCCGCAATAGGCTAAGGAATTGACACAATTAAGGGCATCCACCCATGTGTTAGACACTGCTATTTTCTTTTCATTTAAAACTACAGGTTCACTCTGAATTGGGTCACATTTTAGAAATGAGATTACTACAAATAAGAAATAAAGTACATTATACTGGGGAATAAAGGAAGCTTTACATTCACTGTGACAGTTCTCTTGCCTATGAACACAGGTTAAAACAACGATGAAGTGAAATGAGATCACTGAGTGCCTCACCTACACAAAAAAATGCTAATCTGTTTGTGTCAGACATCATCTGTCACCTACACAGTGCTACAGGACATTCATGTAAGGAGGTGAGCTCTCTTCGTATGTGGACTGATCAGGCAGGGACCACTGCCTGGCCCCCTTAGTCACTTATTCCTGTGGTGCTGGCTACATCAGGAATAACGTACATCCCCCCCAACTACCTGGAAACCTTTATGAATGCGAACAAGGACTGATAAAGCTGCTGCTATGATTAATGCTGACATGCTCACTTGTGCTTGGAAGGAACTGTTGCACAGATGAGACACTGTCTGCATTGCATGAGGATGCCACAAAGAACATTTATGAAACTGGAAATATACTGGTAACAAATGTCTATTCTTTATCAACAGAGGAACTTATTAAGTTTTGAGATTCTTTCAGCCATGATTGCTCAGATTCTGGACTTCCGGGTAATGACACCTTGTAGTCTTGTAGATGGGTACAGATGATTCAGAGGCACACGCTGCTCCGTCTTCAGGGTTGAAGTGTGTAGGTTCAGGAACTGGCTCAGTTACATAGGCAGCTTGCAGGGATGGAAGTCATGAGACGCTCTCCAATTTCCTTGTTAACCTGCCTATATAAATTCTACACTTCAACCCTGAAGGTGGAGAATCATATTCGCTTAAAATGTCACTACCCACCTACAACTCTACATAATGTAATAACATAGGAGAACATAATCCACATAGTGCACATTGTTTAATATTGTAGCTTGTAGACCCATTGCTAAGCAGTGACTCTGTAAACAGTGGCCACTGCTAGGTAATGCCGGTGACATACACGCACACAAAAATAGAAGAGCTTTGTTTTCTGTCTGTCTGTGCTGAGGGGTTATAGGCGGGACAGAGTTCAGAGCTTAGTTAAGTTGTGGGATATTCAACAGATGGTAAGGACCTAAGCAGAGGGTAGTGATAAGAACTGTTACCAAAAATGACTAGTGCAAACACAGAAAACTGCTGTAGTTACAGTGATCTTTAGAATGTGTAAACCAGTGTGGCTGCTATAGTTACCTGTGATTTCAAGTTGTGTGTTTAAGTGGTCAATAAATCAAGTCACAAATCCAAATCCTGTCACTAGTCACTCGTACACGTGACAAAATGTATAGACCTGTTCATTTAAGAGATACGAATGTTCAAAAGGATGACCTAATTAGAAAGATCCTGTAATTATTTTTGTGTTTCAGATATTTCCTCTTTGCTTCCTGAAGAATAATAACTGACATTACAGGTACTCCTTGTCATATGCAAGTTTGAAAAATGGAGATTAATTTTAATGCATTCAACTAGATCAGCTCTTGCTCAAATGCAAACTGTTTGCTGGCCGATCAAGACAGGGAAGAAGGGGAAGTACAGCTTTATGTTGGTGACAGAGGGGGGGATGTGAGGGGAACTAGCTGCAAATCTAATGCCATGCTTTGAGTGAATAAGGAAACTTTCAGAACATTATTTGCCTATGTCCAATTTATGCAGTCTTACCCTGTATGACATTTTGCATAAACTGGGGAGTTCCTGTACCTCCATTCATTTGTTTCATATCTTCCTTCCTCTGGAACTGAAACTGCTTTCCTTGATCTACCAAGCATGAGGATTCTGGTTTGACTTGTTGTTGAATGTGCTCTATTGGGAACTTATTTCCCTATGATCAGATATTATAATGTGGTTTGTACAATACAAGAGAACATTACCTCCTCCTCATCGTCTTCAACTGAGATGGTGGGGCACTCATCCACTGGGAAAGCAGCCAGTATAAGATACAACAAGATGTTACAAAAACAGTCATAGTGCAGGAGCCCTCTATCTCAGAACCTACTCAGTCCATTTCTTATTTCATTTTAACATAGCAAAACCTCATGTAGGTATAGCATTTTCATTCCTAACACGACAAGATTGAAAAATGTATATTCTATAATGTAGCACTCAACATTACTGACAGCATTGTTTAAACTTTATAAGGTTACTAAAAAAATGAAATAATGGAATGAAAATTAATAAAAGTCTCTCATAATTTCAATAAAATCTGTGAGATACATGAAACATTTAATTTATGACCTCATAAAAACTAGGATTTGTAGTGCATTGATACAAATGAAAATTGGTATTTCCCATAGTATTTAGAGGAATTCCCACAAAATCTGTGAAACAGTATATAAGTTAATGAAAACATTCACTTATGACCTTATGTAAACCAGGCCTTCATAAGGGTCAATGAAGTTGAAAATCACAATAGACTGATAATATTTAGTGAAACTCTCCCATATCAAATTTGAAGAAAATCTGTCACAGAGTATAGGCCCTGATACTAAGTCACAGATCGAGAAACGACATAATTTCTACATAAATTGTAGGATTTGAGGCTTCTCACAGCAGTGGTTATGAAGATTTCTATCTTCTGGGATATAATGCTTATACAATATGATGAAAGTCAATGGATGTTTCAGAAGAACATGTTGCCTTCATTTCAGGGTAAAAAAATAAGGCATTTAAGAAGCCAGGAAGAACCAGGCAGCAAGAAGGGTTACTTTGCTTCCTATTTCACACTGGTTTCTTGCTTGGCCTATTCTTTGACCCCGAAGATCGAGGTGACATGTTCCTCCAGAATGTCGGTTAACTTTCAATGGATAACATGGCAGTGTATCACAGAAGCCAGAACTCTCCAAATAAGGTTTCTTGTTCCCCTTTGAAAATGATGCATAATATTGCTATAAAATTACAGTGGCAGTATTTGTCAGCTGCATGTACCTGTGATGGCAGGTGGGGCACAGTCCTGGAACTGGCTGTCATACTGCTCATGTTGTCCATGACTAAGCTGCAGTTCGAATTCTGCCTCAACAGCAGATGGATCAGGTATGTCTGCCTCTGTTGCAAGAAACATGACGTCCCAAGGTTAAGAATGCGTTGATCTATACCTCTTCTCCCCCATACATCTTCATGGTATTGTGCTTCAGCATGCACAGGGAAACTTTACCTTTACCATATACTGGACATTATCTTTTATACGATCTAAAAGTCTGTGACAATGGTATATAACTATCGACTTTTTAGACATTAGCTGTATAATTTTTTTTTTACTTAAAAACCATGTTCTGGAGACAGAATCTAGTATCCAGAACTTTGTTTTTAAATTTAAAGAAGCAGAAAGATGGATAATGTCCAAAAACTCATCATTGTGTTGTCTTTTGTCATGTCATCTTGGTGACAGAAACACATTTTGGGAACGGATTCTGTCTCTGTCATTAAATGGAAGTAGAAAGCCAGAGCTACCCAGCAAAGTACTATATGACGTTACAAACCTGAAGGCCTCAATCTAGATATAGGTAGTGCCTCGTAACTTTAGCCACGCGGAAAGGTAAACGCTGTTGTGGAGCATGCGAAGCTGTATGCTTGCTGTGGTGACGTTCAGAGCCACTCCCTGAGTGGAAAACATTAGCTATTACTTCCCTGGCCTCACTATGAATTGTTCCGTACGATTATCGATGTGCCAGGATAGTGACGCGAACACCACGTAATATAATTGCTATGACTGATACCAACTAAGAAGCAACACAATGTACTACACACCTGATCACACTCCAAGATGCTACATTCCAAACTGGTAGTACTCACGCTGACGTAAGCTGATAAGACTGCTCCCCCAGCCCCGCGAGAGATGGTATGACCCCTCTATCACAGCTAGAATTCCGAGGAACTAACAGTAGTTACTGTCATGAAAACCTCAAAACCTATGTACTATATAGTTTATATAACACATGATCTTTTTATGAATTTTCAATGGGAATTGCACTACTCATTTCAAGATATCATAAGTAAATATTTTCCATCCACGCCATGGGTCTGCACATGTGGTGAGCTAACTGCTGTCACCAAATGTCACATCCACCCATGAGACAGTACTCATTATTTATGAGAATCATGACATACGTTTTGGTGAAGGCTGCTCAATGACAGGTGTGGGCTGGGTAATGATGACCTGCTGAGGAGCTAGTAGGAATGTAGGCACATCCGGTGGCGTGAACACAGGGGGAGCCGATCCCGGAGTCTCATCTTCATCCTATAACAATGTCAAGGGTACGAGGCTCCCATTCCAGTTCAGTTCGGTTCATACACATAATGTAACACGTAATACTGTGACATGTAGACCCACTGCCAAGTAACAGCTGTGTAAACAGGCAACAGTACAACAGCCGTTGTTAGGGAACAGCTATGTGGACATGGTATTTCCCTGGCAATGAGAGAACAAGCAATAATGGAAGAGACATTTTCTGTGTGTTCCCTGCCAGGGCTATATAACAAGGCTAGTAGTTCAGTTGTGGTTGAGTCGGTTGAGAGTTGCAGTTGTGAGAAGTGAGAAGCTGGTAGTGGAGGCCAGGGACAGTTTGGGAAGCCAGAGGAAGGGGAATGTCCACCACTGGAAACTGCTACCAAGCAAAGGGTAGTGAAGACTGAGAAGACTTGATGTATGTTGTCATTACAGTAGTCTTTGGAGTGTATAACTCAGTCAGACTGTCATATTTGTTTGTGGTTATGCTCTGTAAGTGTTCAATGAATCTGATTACCAATATGAACCCTGTTTATAGTCACTCAATCATGTGATAACAGAGTCGAGAATGTGAATGTCCCAGCAATAATTTAAGTCACCAACATTACTAGACACTTTAAGCAAGACTGCAACAAGCCAAATGCTGCCAAAGGTGGGGAGAAATTCTGCCTCCCCCTGAATTAAATACAGCTAAACCTTCCCAAAGCCGGTCACACTAGCCGAGCGGTCTAAGGCATGTACTGTTTTCGCTCGCTTGGAAACGGGATCGTGGGTTCGAATCCCATTCAGGGCATGGATGTTTAGTTTGTGTGTGTGCGTTTTTCTGTGTTTGTGTACAGGTAGAGGCCTTGCGACGAGCTGATCACCTGCCCAAGGAGTCCTACTGAATGTGTAAGATCTAGAAAAACCGAAGTGAACAGAGAAATTCATGGAGGTAGTCCTAGGCTCAATGGGGCTGTAGTGCCAAGGGGGGGGGGAAATCCTTCCAAAAACTTCATCAGAATTCCCAGCCACTGTGACAGAAACTGTCACTGGGATCATAATTCTTAAAATAAAAACAAAGAACCAGCAGTAAAAGTACGGCATTATCTAGCAAGCTGTACATACATTGCTGCGTAACACGTGCAGATAGCTGAAAATGATGATCACAACATGAACAAAAGAGCAGCAGAAATTAATTCTTATCTAATAAGAATATTTATTTGTTACTTACATATTTACACTGTCAGTAACTACATGTCTACACAGTGTCAAATCACTGCACAATAGTACACAATTAATTGAAAAGGATGTGGAAGGAAACACTCTGGCATAATTTAAGGTACTACCCCAGTAAAAATCAAATTAGGATAATTGGTGTCCCAGTCACAATCTGAACTTGGCATCAAAAAGTACAGGTCAGAAGTTTCATCACTTGAGCCAACTCAGTCAGTTTGTACTGGTGTTGTTATGACACTCAAGGCAAGAAGGTTACAATGGAGCGTGGATGATATTGCATAAACAAAATTGCATACAGAACTTTGGGCCAGAAATCTCCCCAAACCTGATGATTAGAAACATGAAAAGGGAGGGGGGGAGAATATTGAAACATGACTTCGGAATTAGAACTTTGGGTTCTAGTAATAGAGAATTGATGTCTTGGAAACAAAGTGGATGATGAAGATGAGTCCAAAGCAAAGATATTTCCATTTTGTTCAAATTTGGGTTCTTATATCAGATGTTAATTTCAACTGCACATACTGCTAGGGGCACTGAGGGTCTCTCACAAGTCCGAGACTGAGATGGAGGGACATAGGACTCAGTAACGAGGACTGGAAGAGAAGGACTTTACATCAAAGCTTTGAGTCAAATACTGCAATTACACATATAACTCAATGACATGGACAGAAATAGGACATTACTAAGCTGACTGCATTAAACTTGGTTCTTTTATTGAATCTTTAGGTCTTATATTGAAGAGTTAGTTTAAGTGTTGCATATTACTTGGGGTGTAAGAGGCTCGCCATTTTCACGACATTCCTCCACAACCAATGAGGGGAAGAGCCCAGTGCAGCCGTTCAGTTCTCCTTCCCACCAACCGTCATCCACGGCGTGCACAACTTTCCTCAACACTCGGATCACTTTGCCCTCAGTGAACGAGAGTTCCTCTGGACATGTGGCCTCGTAGTCGTACAGTGCAAGACAGTAGCTTTCCAAACCTGTGTACCAACAGCACTAGTCAGTAATGCCATGGCATGAAATCAATATTAAAACTTGATAGGAAAATCTAATTTGGAGCAACACCTAGCTGCCATAGTTTCCAGTGGCTGAAGGTATGAACTCCACTGCATCCTTTTTAAACTGCTAAAAATTTTATTTGAACCAAACAAAAATTTTAATTGGCTCTTTTACTAGTTTAACCATTTTCAGTATATGGGTTGAAACATATTGACATATTCCTAGAAGGAATATTTCATTCACTGCATTTCAGAATACCATATAATAAATTCCAGGACATAATTCTGTCCTGCTGTGCTTGGAAAGAATTGACCAGACCTTACTCATTCCACAAAGCAAGCATCTGACATTCAGCAGTGGCAATACAATTCTCGGTTTTTGGTTATTCAGTTTCTTTACTTGTGTGCTTGCCTACAGCAAATGGCCTATAACTGGCAAGTGCTATAAATGTATAACATACTGAAACAACATGATTAAAATAAAGAGTTACTATTTGTTTTTCCTTGGCACTACAGCCTCAGTGGGCCTAGGCCTACCTCCGTGAACTTCTCCGTTCACTTTGGTTTTTCTAGATCTTAGACATTCGGTAGGACTCCTTGGGCGGGTGATCAGCTCGTTGCAAGGCCTCTACCTGTACACAAACACAGAAAAACGCATACAAACATCCATGCCCTGAGTGGGATTCGAACCCATGATCCCGGTTTACGAGCGAGCGAAGACAGTGTAGGCCTTAGACCGCTCGGCTACCGTGACCGGCTACTAACTAATTATCTGCCTATTTAGCTAACTAACTAATGCACGTTTGCAGTCCTGGTTCCTCTCCTCATTTCCCTACAAGTGTACCCTCATTTTTTCATGCAGCATACCCTTCTACCACGAAAATTAGGACAGTAGGTTTCAAATCGTTGGCAGCTTTCTCCCAGACTACACAGCATCACACCCCAGGAGACACTAATCTTTGACTCTAATTATTTGATGCTTGCAGCGATAATTAATGTGACCAGTCAGCATACATTACCATCTTGCTGAACAACTGGTTGATCCTGCATCTTCACATCCTCCTGATCATCCACTGTGTAGTCCACAGAACTGAATGAGATCTGTGAGACCAGCTGATAGCTGGAGCCTCCCCCCTGTTCAGTCTGATCATCATGGTCCACATCCAGATAGTTGTGGGGCACATACCCCTCCTCCCCTCGGTAGTTGCGAGCGCGCAGCCAGCCGTCGCCATCACCTTCACCAACCACCTCCAGCTGTTCATTCTCCACGATGCTGAGTTCATCTGGGTTCTGTGCCTACACCACAGAAAACACTGTCAGACTCGGTTGCTCTCCGCATCTGTACAGGTGTCAGTAGGTGTGGCACGGACTCACTGTGTAATTGTAGAGTGCTATGCACTTGTACGTGTGACCAGGCTCGATTGTTATGTCAACAGTTGGGGGTTGCTGTACAGCTTCCAATTCTCCTTCAGGTGCCCCAGTGATTGTGTCCCCTTCATCAGGGCCCCAGTCCACTTGTGTGGGATCATCCCAGCCAGCTGTCAGCTGCTCCAGCCTCTGCCTCTCTTGCTCCACCATAGCTGCCGCCAAGACAAACAATAATCAAGTTCTTCTAACTAAAAAGAATCCATTTAAGATCAGTTGCCAGTCAAGAAATCTTGTCCTGCTTCATGTTACCTTAATTTTCCATAGCATCTAGACTAGCTCTGGGGCCCACATAGTTTCCTATCTAACTGATACTGAGGGGTAAAGCAGCAGGATCACAAAGCTGATTATTCATTTCCATCTAGTCCTGACATTAAGAAACTGTGGAGCTATATCTCCATTCCTTATATATCTTCATAGTGTGGTGTTTAAATAAGCACAGGCAAAAATATACCTCTCACCATAATTTTATCTAAATATTCTGAACATACAGATGATCAGATCCTTCTAGTCAAATCTGAAGATCTATAATACTCAGTATATAATCTGAAAACTACAGATTGTTGCTGAAATTTCCATGGAGATAAATATTGAAAGAACTTGTCTGTACCTGACAGCGTCATGAAGTAACTGAATAAACAACAAAAGCATCAGCAAGCTGTCAGTATGAAACAAAGAGTTGATGCAACTGCACTAACCCCATTCTCCATCCACTTCAGCTCCTCCACTATCCTTTTCATCTTCAGGCACTCCTGTCTCACTGCCTTTGCGGTCTACTGCAGCCACCTCAGAGCCCTGATCAATGTCGCTGTCATACAATGAATCAGATGTTGGGGGTTCCTGCAATATTACACTGACTAGAATCTAAAAGGTTCCGATGAAGGTGTGTGACACTAACAATTACAGGATTTTTGAACTTTGTCAATTGTCTGGCCATGTTAGGTGGGTCCCAGTCACCACGGCATGGCACATCCTCAGGTTGCGGATGGAGGAGACGCGCTCCAGTTTTGGAGGGAAGGTGTGACTATATTGAATAAGCAGTCACGGACAGCCAACAAGGGGTGGCCATCCAGCTTGGGGGTTGGGGGTGGGGCTAACAACTCCTCACCATAAAAATTCATTATGTTACGAAAATGAACACAAAGTCTCGGACCTGGATGGATTCCTTGGATGAACGACCTAAGCCAATGAAAATGGATATGAGATTTTGGCACTTGGAATGTACGAAGTTTGTATAGGGCAGGTTTGCTCAGATCAGTGGCAGAAGAAATCTTAAAATATAAGTTAGATTTAGTGGGAGTGCAGGAGGTCAGATGGGATGGAGGTGGCATTGCACCAGCAGGAGACTGTACATTTTTCTATGGAAAGGGGAATGGAAATCATGAATTAGGTACAGGTTTTTTCGCACATAAGAGAATCGTATCAGCAGTTAAGAGGGTAGAATTTGTTAGTGATAATATTTCATATATAATACTAAAAGGTCGCTGGTGTGATATCATTGTCATGAATGTTCACACCCCAACAGAAGATAAAATTGATGACATAAAGGACAGATTCTATGAAGAACTAGAACATGTATTTGATAAATTCCCGAAGTACCCTATGAAAATTTTGTTAGGAGATTTCAATGCCAAAGTAGGGAGGGAAGACATTTTCAAACCAACAATTGGGAATGAGAGTTTGCATGAAATTAGTAATGATAATGGAGTTAGAGTAGTAAACTTTGCCACATCAAAACATCTTACTATCAAAAGTACAATGTTCCCACATCGTAACATCCATAAATTTACTTGGACATCTCCTGATGGGAAGA